CTATCTATATATGAGCATGCACATTCACTACTTTTTTTCTGATTGAGGTTGTCTCTACAGATTCTGGATGATACCTTTGCGTCGCACATGCAGCAGCTTCTAGGACATACGTTGCAAGAGAAAGACTTGGAGCCTCCGAGATCTGTCATGGAAGTTCGTTCCATGCTCTGCAAGGATGCTCCCAACCTCAAAAACAACTCTTTCTATTTTTGAGCCCAGCCTTGTAAATATGACCTGAAGAATATAGTGGGGGGAGATGAATAGTGCCTGCACAAGTTAATTCTTTTCGCCAGCAAAGCAGGATGCATCCATAAATTCAGAAAATAATACCAGCTGGGGCAAGCAACTCGGCTGCTCCTCAAAATATTGCATTCTTTATATATTATCAGTACATATTTGTCCAGCAAAATTTCCCACCTATTTTTTCTTCTTACCGCTACCCACTTCACTTTTTTAATATTTTATTATTGTTCATTTAATAGAAATCATTTTTTATATTTTGTTGTTTTATTTCATCTTAATTATTTAATTAATATTTAATAGAGTACCATGTACTTAAAAATTAAAAATTCGTCAATTAACTTAAACATATTTAAAACCAATTCAACCATGATTCAACTAACGAACGGTAAAAAGATTTCTGAATTTTCAGTTCTGAAGCATCTATACTTGTGCGCTTCTAGAATCTCATATAATTCGTTATTTATAAATCAGTTTTATTCTTCTCAATAATATGCCATTTACAAATTGTAAGTCATTTTAATACGGATCTAGCCTTTGCATTAATCTCGTTATATTTCAAGGCTGAAAACAAACCACCATGTAATTTTTTAGGGTTAAAATGCAATTTTGATCTTGATTTTATTTTTTAGGTGCAATTTCGCTCCTTATAAAAGAAAAATCATGATCAAAATTACACCACTAAATGAGGGGCAAATTACATTTAAAGATTAGGGACAAAATTACATAAAAAAAGAGAAAAAATCACACCTCCAAAATAAGAAACTCGAACAAAATCGCACCACTGAAAAATCAAAAACAAAATTATACTTTAAAAATAAAATCAGAGTCAAAATTACACATTAACCCAATTCTTTATGTTATTTTTTTACTTTCTATATGTTCCCTCTCTTTAATTACTAGTGATTTTTTCACATAAAAATTTTATTTAAACCAATACATCCTTTAATTGAAACGTTTCGATCATTTTATCTATCCAGTGCATTATACTGAAGTCGAGCTCAAATATAAAGACGATTTTGGCAACAAATTCCGCATCTTGATCTGACAGGGAATGCAATGGAATTGGGGAAAGGTTATGTCTGTGAATGAGAATTTGAATTGCCTAACATTTGATGAATGAGGAGATATCTACAATGATTTACGTGGCAAACCGCGTAAACAAATTTAAAATCACATGTGGAAAACCAAGCTCAACAGCGACACAGGCACAAGGGAAAAGGGTAAATAAATAACTACACTACAACTCTCCTCCACTCTTCACGGGCACATCAGAGAAGCTTGGAGATAACACGACAAGAAGTCCAGAATGCCTTTGTTGCAGCCGTAATTATAACAGGGTTTTGATAAATCCTGTCAACAAAGCCAAGTAACAGCGGTCAATCAAATGAATGTCAAATGCGCATCAAAACAGTTAAGAAGTGCTGGTTTGGGGTATAAGAGCTCTGTCAACAGGTTAATAACACGGCCAAATGGGACTGTAAAAGAAATATGAAACGGGATAAACAAAGGGAGCTTGGCCAGGCATCAGTAACACAAAATTATCCTAAGCATTGCCCTGCTTTAAGGAGAGACACCGATCTGGTAAGAAAGAAAGTAGAGGGAGGTAAAATCCCTTACCCAATGGCTGTCGCCCCCCAGGACGCAACATTGTAGATAACTTTGCTTCCATCCCAGGCCTTTTGAAGCTTTCCCTTCTTCTTCTTCACCGAAAATGTCTTGCTTAGCACTGATAAGAACAGATCAACCAGTAAGAACTCAGAAGTCATTTACCATTCATTTTTAGCTAACTAACATTATAATTGTCTCAACTAGAGCAAATAAATCCATCTCCAAAACGAAAAGAGTACACATAGAAGAGATATTTAGTCCTTGGTTCGCACTGGAATAGACGGATAAATAACGACGACAAAGTATCATTCTAGGAAGGAAACAAGCACCTTTCTGAAGTTGATTAGGAGTCAAATCCTGCAAACAGTGCAAAAGACGTATGTAAGTGAGATGTAACATAAACTTCAAACATGCTATGTAACATATGCTTTCTGTTATTAATCACGGGAGACATTCATAAACCATATTCCTCAATTGCACACAACAGAGGGGCTTATTATTCAAGAAGCACCAAAAGGGATTCTGGGTTTAAAGAAAGGAGAAATGCAGCTTAAACAGATAATTATTTACATCATCAAACATACAAGCGTATCACATGATTATCCACTTGCTAGAATAGGATGACTTAAGCATATGTCTGCAAACATAGTTGTAAGTATATAATTTTTTTCCTTACATGTATTGTGGGGGAAAAAAACATAAAACAGATAACATAAGATAAAATTTAAGCACCTCAAGTAAGATTTTGGTCTCTATTTTTCAAGAAAGAATTAAATTATGAGCATGAAACTTCTCTGGCGGCATTTTCAAGTAAAGCACAACATGTATAAAGCTTCCTAACTTGTGAATATACAGATACCTTAGTATGGTCAAGGGATAGTAAATATGCAGCCATGAAGCAAGCCATTCCCTCCGCTATATCTTCTTGTCTAACGAGGACATAACATTCTTGGTCTGACTCAGTATCTTCACTTTTCCATAGATCATTCTCACTGACCATATCCCAAGAACTACCTACTTCTGTCATAACCCAATAAATTCTCTAAGCATTCTAGAACTTAAACATAAAAAATTAAAGGCTTTTCTATAACTTAAAAATATGAATGTCTTCAATCTAAACGTGGAAAGTAAATTACTTTGCAATGTAATAAGCAACAAGTTTTAAATATAGGAGTATATTTGGACGTGTACCAGTTGTATTCCGTGAATTTGATGCCTGGGCACGCTGCAGTTTTTCAAGAAAAGTAGGGCATTCAAACCCAGATTTGAGCAGGTCACGTAACTGCATTGCACACATGGATTAGAATGAATATCCATCAATAACGGAACCAAAACCTTAGTAGAGCTGTTCACTATTACTTGTCCACAATAGATGGGAGATAATATTGCATTGCACATCATGATCAAGCAGAAGAGCGTCAACTGCTTGCATTACAGATCTAATGATGCATGTATCTTAATGCATATACGTGTCCTTAAGGGCAACAGCGTCTAAATGCAAGCGAACCAGCTCAGTGAAATTTCTTCAAGAACCATGTTAATATACATGATCGATGCTGTCAAAAAGTTTAACACGTAATGACACTGAACCAGTAGCTATGGTATCATGTGAATGGTTCACAATTTAAATGCACACAAGAAAAACAAGCTACGAAGAAGGGTCCGCAGTATTCGATCACAACATCAGTACTTTATTACTAGGGACAATACCACCTAAAATGTAAATCAAGAATTCTTTCCCGCTATTTGTCTGCCTCTTGGATCCAGATTACCCGCCAAAATAAACAACATCTAACCGCCAAACCTCATAAGGCGAGAGAAAACATTAAAATAAAACAAAACAATTACCTCGTCGGCGTCTCGATCGTCTCTCGCAGAGGGTGAAACTTCAAGGCACCCATCCTCGTACCACCCTGTCGATTCAACCTCAGCCCCTGAATCATTTTCATCTTCGTCAACACCGCTAGTCGTGTTGAATAATTCGAGGGCTCTCCGACACTGCTCGAGCGCCGCCTCCAACGTCTCCCTCTTCACCCGATGACAATCGTTCCCCGACCGCTCTGTCCGAGTTTCATCGGTGGACTTTGGATAAGAGAAATCGACCTCCATTGGAGCTTCGCAAAGCTAAACAATAGCCAGAGAACAGTCCCGGGATCCTCCACGCAATTAGTCGGAACGAAACCCCTAGAAAACGAAAACAAAATAGCAGCTTGTCTGGATATGGATTTGGAGCCCTAGAAAAGTTTATCGCCAGTATCAGATGTCGTCAACGTTACTGGATGTGACGATGATGTCTAAGTAAATGTTATGCAGCCAAAGGAGACACGTGCTTCTCGTGGTCGTGGTGATCCAATGGGTTTGTTCGTCTCTTGCAGACGCGACACGCGGTGGCGAGGGTAATGGTAGGGGATGGACATAAGGCGGAGCGGGCCCGGAAGCCGTCGGGTCGTACTTTTGAGAAAGCCTATCGTAATTAAATGAACTCCTTGGTTTCTTCGGCCTGCCGTTTGCTATTAAAAGATTGTCCATGTTAATTGGAAAAATTATGTGCAGTTTAATTAATCATAGGTCTTTAAATTACCAACAAATTCTTTTGTCAGTAATCACTAACAAGTTTTTTCTGAAGAATTTGTAGAAGAATATATTAAATAACTTGTACATTTTTAAATTTGACTAATAAATAGTGTAGGAGGATTTATAACTCTTCCTAATTATGTAGTTTAGGGTTTAGCTGATATTTTTTTTTATGTAGTGTAATTCCATGCTAATAAATTTTATGTCGATGATAATGGGTTTTGTATGTCAGCAGGGGGAATATTCGGATTTGAATATTTGATTGTTTGGATAATTGTGGAGGAGTATTGGAGGAGAAACCCATTTCTTGTGAACAGGCAACCGACTAGCCCCCCAGTCTAAGATTATTGAGATGTGCACCTTTTTGCCTAAAAATTCAAGCATAATAGGGGGCATCATTTAAAAATAAAATATTAGAAGTATATTAGGCTTGGGCCTGTGGTTCATTTGGTTTGTTGATTCTGGCCCAGTACGCGTAGGGATGTTACATATGAGCGCAATCATTGTAAACAGTTGCATGGATTCATTGATTCAGAATCAATAAACTGTTCACTTTTTCCCCAGCGACAATGGATGGCTCTGTTGTTGTCAGAACATGCAGTACGAGATTATTAGAACCTTGGTAATAATGGCACGCCAGATGCACCAAGAGAAAAGAGTGAAGAGAAATAAGCTGATGTACCTCTTATTTATGAGTCAGGGTGATCCTCATTTTCAAAAAGATGCCATCTTTCTTATTTATTACGAGATAATATTCTGATTCATCAGTAAATAATTAATGTCTGATTGATTTCTCTTCAATCAATCAAGTTTTTAATACTTGATTGAATATTCCTTAATCAGCCAATTATTGTTTTTGATTTGTGACTGATTCTCTTGATCAAAGATATTCTCTCTTCTTGGATCAAGTAGTTTGACCCATCAAAAGTAGACTTGAACCCAGCATCTAACAAAAGGTATGGCAAAGATGAAGTCCAGTGAAAAGTACTAGTAACGAACAAATCTAAACTTGTTATTTACTGTAGATATATAAAATTAAAATACTTCATGCCATTTAAAACATAACATCCTCAACATTCAATAATGACTAGAGAATCAGTTTCAATGCTTATCATTTTAATGAATACTATAAACTCATCAAATTTAAACTGTTTATATCTGATTTAAATGGTCCAGATTTAAAATTTTTAATTAATCATTTTTAAATAGAAAAAATTATTTTTTTAAAAAAATGATAGTTAAGAAATTATCTCTATTTTAAATTCTATACATATTAAAATAATTATTTTAAATAAAAAAATCAAATCCAGACCATTTAAATAACATATAAATGTTTCAGATCTAACAAGTTTATCTCGTTTGCTGGTTCCGCTAATAAGATGTTCAATGGGATTTGTTCCGGCCTCATCGATCTCATAGGAACGCGAGTCTGTAAGGTGAGCGATTATATAACAACAAAGATACCAACGTGAACAGCTCCAAAAGCATCAAACACACCATATATAATTACTCCTATTCAAATTAAACCTGACAACTCAAATTTTGTTGTAAATAGTGGACATGCGATGATGAGATGAGAAATTATATATTCTTCCGATACTAAATATAAGACGCATTTTGTAGTGTAAATTCTATAGTATAATTTACATTACAAAATATGTTTTATATTTATAATTTATATTACAAAATGAGTCTTATTTAAAAATTACACTATAAAATGAGTCTTGTATTTAGAACTGGAAGAATATATAATTTCTCATCTCATCATCACATGTCCAGTGTTTACAACAAAATTTTTGAGTTGTCAGGTTTAATTTGAATAGGAGTAGCTATTCAAAAGCACCTAATAATATTGCATTAAAATGTCGTATATACTAAAAACTCAAAACATTTTCACATATGTAAGCACAACGATAGTAAGTAGTGTATGCACATGTGATATAGATATAATATCATTGTCTTTAGTTGTAAAAATCAACAAAGTAGGAGTTATGCCGTCAACATCAAATAAATGACAAAAGATTTGATTTTATCATTAATTCTGTACCATTTTGTTTTGACCGGACATTAATTCTGTACCATGGCCAAACAAATTAGACCGAAACTTATTTTGATATTATAACTTTATTAAGGTTATTTTTATCCCTTCAACTTCAAAAATACGATAAAAGTTTGCTCACATTTACTATCATCGATTTAATCTTTTTTTTTTAAAAAAAAAAGCTTGCATAAAGAATGCTCGAAATTACGGAAGGGCCCTCGTTTCAAGATTGATCGTCGTCCACAATTTTCCTCCCTCCAACACGGCGGTTCGTTTTGGAGGGTAGACGCGTACAGGTGCTGAAGAATTGGAGACCCGCTCTCATTGGGCTCTCGCGTGACCACCCACTAACCCAGACTCACACAAACTCTATCTTCACTTCTGCGTTTTCCTTCTTCTCCGTCATAACAACTCCTGTCTCTTTTGCTTTTGCCCTCTCTTCCCTCGACTTCTATAATATCTTCTTTTTTTTTTTCATATCATTTTCCCCCGGCGAGGTACGCTCCAATCAATGCAGATTCATCAGAGACTCTAATACTTTTTTCCTCGATTGAATGTAATGTTTTCACGTAAAACTGTGTTGAACTTCTTTGCCATTTTGATCAATATGGATGCATGCAGGGCTTTGTTGATCGAATATGGCGACTTCTGGTTAATCACCTGGGTTATGATTCTGACATTTTGTGGTCACAGATATGATTAACAAAAATGCAGATGCATTTCAGGTAAATGTCTGGGAAGTTGCCGATCTTTAATATGAATGAAAACGACGACCTTCTTTTTTCTTAAGCCTATATATCTTCTTGGCTAATTACATGGTATCTAGGATGTATCGATTTAGAAGGATATATGTATTATACAAAATGAATGATGATCCGAGTCATCTGGCTTTTTGTGTTGCAGGGAGATGGCGGGGTGCCTGATCCCTCTCTTCAGCCTGGAAAGCCAGATCAGTTCAATCCTGGCGGCAGCAACACGACGGTAACTTCTTTTCTTTTCTTTTTTTCCCTCGTTACTTCCAACATGAATTTGGATCCATATGGGATCGTTGCCAGTTTATATTCCAACGATAGAGATCATCGTTTGTATTCTCAAGGCTGGTCACTCGATCGGTCAACATTCGGCTGTTTTCAGTATGATCATGCAAAACTTTTGTGCAATTAATGGATGAGAAATTTACGTACAGTTGATGCCTCTGGGTTGGGCTTAAGAGGTGTTAAATTTAGATGTTTTAAGTGAAGCGAATAAATATAGTACCTCTTCTCAATATAAAAAATTAGTTGATTAATTTAAGTGAATTAAAAAAATTAGTTAAATTAGTTATTTATAATAAATAGGTATTGTCTTCTTTTAAAATATTTTGACTATCATGTGCATTAGCTATAACTATAATTTGGTAAAACATTTAATACGTGTAACTACTATAAAGAGTATCTTAGAAAAAAATAAATGAATATGATAGACAAAGTAAATTATAGTCTTATACTTAAAATGAAATTATATGTTAACTCTTATTCTAAAGATCGACTATAGCATTTCATATTTTATGGTATCTCGTCATCTAACAGTTTCCTTCACTGTAGTTCACTTCATTTGCTGTGGTTTCTCTCACCTGTCAGCTCTAATGATCCCCTTTGATTTTATGTACTACAGATTTTCAAGAGTGGACCACTTCTATTATCCTCAAAAGGCGAGTTTCACTACAACACAAGCTTGTGAATTTGCTTTCGTGAAACTTAGGAATTCATCAACAAAGCTAGAATCCCCGTGAAATAATTGAGTGTTGTGAATTTATTATCTGTTGCATAACATGCAATGTAACTCTTGATATGTGTAGGGATTGGATGGACATCGTGGAAGAAAAGGTGGTTTATCTTAACCCAAACTTCATTGGTTTTCTTCAAAAGTGATCCAGTGAGTAATTGTGTTTTTAGCTTCCGTTTTGTCTGTTATCTGCATATCTATGGACATTGATTAACTATGTTTCTAATCTTCAGAATGCTGTTTCTCAGAAGGGAAATGAAGTGAATTTAACCCTAGGTGGCATTGACCTCAACAATTCAGGCAGGTTAGCTTGTTTTTTTCCAAGCGACGCATTAATTGCACTCTCGTTGCCTTTATATGCTCACCATAAAGCTGGATCTGTAATTTGTCTTGTCAAATTTTTCAGTGTTGTTGTCAAAGCAGATAAGAAACTCCTAACTGTGCTTTTCCCTGATGGTCGCGATGGACGAGCTTTTACACTTAAGGTGATTCATCCCTCTTTCCCTTTTGTTTAAAGAATTTTTTATTTTACTCGGACATGTCCTTTCCTCTATGAATTTATGGTCTCCGGTCTATCACACTATATCTCTTTATTATTACATATATTCTTGGAGCTAGGAATTAATTTGGAAAAATTAAGAAGATTAATTAAGTTGGTTAGTTGTAATGGATATACGTTAATATTTCTAAACAACTGTCTTTAATTTCCTCAACGGCTTTAGACAAATTGAGATCAATACTAAGTAAGAAATTATAAGTATATTACTGATTTGGTGCATAAGGGAGAGCGACCGCCGGGAAAACTATGCAGACGGTGAGTGGACGTCGTGGCTGAGGTGTGTGATCGAATTGGGCCGAAGAGAAAGGCAATTGGGTCTAAGGTGTAGGGTGCACTTGCGACTGGGCTGTGGCCCAAACATGCAACGCCTTACCCACCCAATATAATAAATAAAGGGGGAGTTAACAGCCTGCTTGTGCTCTCATGAGACAGTTTCTTAATATAAGAACTAATTTAATATTTAATTATATCATAAATATGGGATTTTAATTTATTTTTTTCTTATATTTATCAATTTTCTTGAAATTAATCTTTGTAGTAATTGTACATATTAGATGTTTCATTAAATAGCAGTCATAGCTCATATACATGATTGACAAGGATATTTTTAAAAAAATAACGCGTATTTATTATAAATAACTAACTTAACAAACTCTATTTATTAATTCAAATTAGTCAACTAGCTTTTATAAAAGAAAACAAAGTGCAAATAATTGGAAGTTAATTCCTGCAATGCCATCAAGACAGCTAACAAATTCCTCTCGTGCGCGTCGCTCCTCCTCTCCTCGCCTCGCCTCGCCTGATTGATATAATATTGTGCCAATTTCCCTAAAATATCTTGGATATATAAAATATTGGAAACGCAATATTATGTAATCAAAAGGCAAGAACAGTGAGAGAAATTATATGATTAAATGTGTCCACTCCATCATTACTTAACACAATTAACTCCTAATTCATTCACTCAATTAAGCCAAATTAAAATGTTAAAAGCCCAGGATAATATATGTGTGTGTGTGTGTGTGTGTGTGTGTGTGTGTGTGACAAAGTAGTAATAAAAAGTAGGGATTCATCCGTCACTCTTTCTCTGCTTGCCTGATATATTTGTCAATGCGGCAGGCTGAAACTACGGAGGATTTAAATGAGTGGAAGATTGCACTTGAGAATGCTTTGGCACAAGCACCCAGTGCTGCTAATGTCACAGGCCAAAACGGTGCCGTCAAGAACGAACAGACTGATCAGTCAAAAGACGCGTCATCAGAACAGTGTATGCATAAAATTTATCTCCTAACGATCTAATATGATCGTTGATACTAACACGCAACAAGCCTCCCTTCTAAAAGATTTTTCTGCACTTATGTTATAGCCAAAGATAGAGAACCAATGAGGTCTAAGGTCATTGGCCAGCCAATTTTACTTGCTCTGGAAGATGCTGATGGAGCCCCCACTTTTCTGGAGAAGGGCCTTAGGTTCATAGAAGACCATGGTGGGTCCCTGTTTTCTTTTTCGCTTTTTAATGAATTACTCTCGGTAATATGTTACATTTTTTGGTGATTTACTAAAGAATTAGACAATATAATATGTTGATAAAGACGAAGAAACGAAGATAGGGAAGCAGGAGAGAGAACCTGTATTACTCAGATTTTTAATATCCAAATTAAAGCCTAATTACAAACTAATCGAGAGCATCTATATATAGTCAAGATCGTTAACAACCTAGCCTCTGTAGTATAACCCTAGCTAACTCTGTCATCTGATTACAGAGGAGAATTAATTCATAAGTACTTATAGTCTCGCATAATTTTTAATTAGTTTTTGTGATACATTTTTATCTCGTCCTCATAATTTTTTCTTTAAATTCTAGGCATTACTGCCTAAATTTGTTTGGTAATACATAAGAGATTTCTTTGGTTTTTTACCTTTTACCGTGTGCACGATGCATCATCAATAGGCAATTTATTTTGAGTGCACCACATTGTTTCGCTGCTTTTGGATTTATTTTAATTTGAAACATTTGACTTTTCGTCATGTTTCATATCTTATTATTATTTAAACTTTCAATTTGTCATACTCACTTTGATAAAAATAATCTAAATATAACTCACATTATACAAACTAACTTTTATTATTTTAAATTTACAAAAATAATATAAAATAAAAATTAATTTTATCACCACTAATTCAAACACTGACCTTTGTGATGCATGGCTTAGACCCCTGCTGCATGTCAAGTACGTTCATGGGGTGTCTGTCAATGTTTTTTGAGCTGAAAGTAGGTCGGCAAGACCTAGCTTCTGAATATTTTCTTTTTGAAGTTTTCTCACGAAACTTTTTGCTTTTTTGAATAACAACGGCAAGCTTGAGGCTTGAAAATGGAAAGCAATAGACACTAGAGAGGAATTAGGCAGATCACTGATCACCCATATCTTCCATGACTAAATTTAGACAGCCGGGTGGAGTCTCCTGAATCAGTGTCGCATGGAAACTTTTTAAGTTTGCTGCAGGGAGTTTTTAGAATCTTTATTGGTTGTTTACTAAGGACGTAAGTTGTTGGCAGTTTTCATGAGTCTAACTATGATTATTACGAAAATAGGAGTCAAAGTAGAAGGGATCTTACGGCAAGCTGCCGATGTTGCGGATGTTGAATTTCGAGTTCGGGAATATGAACAAGGTTAGTGCTTCTACTCTCGTAGTTTCTGAATTATATGTGTTTATGTCTAGGGTTCTTTTGTCATAACTTGCTTTCATTTACGATCATTACATTATGCTATTGATTGATTTTGCATTTCACGTTGTTAAGGAATTTCATCATCTATAAGGCTTTCTGTTCCGAATGCTTCTGAGAATAAGGGGGATGCTGTGTATTAAACATATTTCCCTTTTCCATATCTCAATGCATGTATAAAACATATCCATCAAGTGTTGATGTTGCATGATATCCATCCTTTCTCTAAAATCTGATTTATTGACCTTCTCTTTTAAGTAATTTCCAGAAGTTGCTGCTTAGATTTAAATTTTAAATATTTAGTTAGTTGCCCAAGATGCTTCCTTGATTTTTAGGGATCATTCGACTAGCACTTATGGATTTATTTCTTACTCAAGGTGAATAAGTTGAAGCCTAGTATTTTGCTACAGACACTAAGCTAATTCCTCTAAAATACACAGCAGAGAATAACTGGATGAGTTGCCAATCACCCCTTGGGTACAAAAGTAATATTAATTCCTCTGCATACCTCTTGCCACATCCCTAAAGGTTGGATTCTCTAGTTCAATAATTAGCATGCATGGGGCCTTCTTTCTACGCAGAGCAATGCGGGTGATCTGCTTGAAGGTCTCTGGTCTATATATGTGTGTCCGCGTGTTGTGACTTATTACTGATAAAACCTGATGTTCTTGGGTATGCCATACGGATGCAGGAAAAGTTGACTTTTCTGCAGGAGAGGATGCACATGTTGTTGCTGACTGTGTTAAGGTATCTTCATGATGAAATTAATTGCTTTCTTCTTCTTCTTCTTCTTCTTTTTAAACTATAGGTCATAGACATGAAAGGCAATTTCTTACACTACTATAATTTCAGCATGTACTCCGAGAATTGCCATCATCTCCAGTCCCTGCGTCCTGTTGCAAGGCACTGTTAGAAGCATGTCGTAAGTGTTATTTTGGCTTTATTATCTTTATACTTTTTTAAAGTAATCTTTGGTCAGCCTGGATCTATTGTGCATAATTTGCTAGTTTCAGACGAGAAATTCTTCTATGACAATAATTATAAGCAACCATCTGACGTGCAAGTCCTTCCAGCACTACGCAGATGCAGTTACCTTAGTCAACCACCTGATCCTACCATCCACATTATTAGAACTGGGGCCCTAAACTTTTTGGGATTCTAGTTTTTATGATTTCTCATATTGCATATTCATTTTTTTGCTTTGATATCAATGAGTCTTAGTACCCACACTGTATCTTCTATTGCTGCCCTCATTATGAGAAAATATAACTTGTCCCGCAACAAGCTGTCAGCCAACTTGAAACATATCCTTTGATATAGAAAGCAATTGCAGAGCCTTATATTTGAGATTTTGAGTGAATACCGCGTTTTTATATCTTTATTGCCTTTTTTTTCCCTTATTAATATTCTATGGATCTCCTTTAAAGTTTGATTTTCTTTTCACCACTGCGAAATGGCACAATTATTAGGAACTGAACGTTCTAGGAGGATTTCCACTATGCGTGCAGCAATATCTGAAACTTTCCCCGAGCCGAATCGTCGTTTGTTGCAAAGGTATTTGATTAAACAAAACAGATTTATGCTCCCCCCCCCCCCCCAAAAAAAAAAACGCCTTTTTTTCTGGCGATTCACACCTTTCTATTTAGTCCACTATTTGTGGCCAATTTAGTTCACTTCCTTTTTTTCTGTGGTGTAATCGATTCATCATTCATTTACTCCTGCCAGAATACTACTGATGATGCAAGCTGTAGCTTCCCACAAAGCAGAGAACCGAATGAGCTCCACAGCTGTAGCAGCTTGCATGGCACCCTTACTTCTCCGTGCTCTTTTTGCTGGGGAATGTGAGATTGAAAATGATTTTGATGTGGGTGGCGATGGTTCTTTTCAACTTCTACAAGCAGCTGCTGCAGCTAATCATGCTCAAGCAATTGTTATAACTCTATTGGAAGAATATGACAGCTTATTTGGGGTAGGTTTAATTGTAACTTAATTTTTGGGCATGGGTTCCGCTCATAATGTATGCATCTCGAACATAAGTCTTGAGTGGTGGATGTTCTTTTCTCAAACGTATATCAATATATGTCCATGCTGTTTTGATTCATGTGCCCCTTTGTTCTTAACTATTAAAAAAAGGTACCCTTTTCTTCTAAATGGCGTCAGGGAGGACCTATGGTCTTTTTTATATTTATGATATAAGGCTTTCTCCAAATCTGAGGATTTAGTCACCGTGAAGCAGTGTGCAGGTATTTTGAAGGCTAAGTGCATGTATTGATGAACATACTATTCCTCGTATGAGTTTAGGACAGGAACTAGTATTAAATTGGCAGTACAATCGGGTCCGAAGGACATAGTTTTGGGAGGGGAATGAACTGCCGTTGGAATAATGAAATACGGTTTGCCAACCAATATCATGATATTATGTTGAATTCTCTTCCTCCTGCCGTTGGGCATTAACCCAAAATGACCTCATGAAATAATGAAATGTTTGCTGTGATGAGGTTAAAACTAGTAGACTTGTGAAGTTTTTGTATTTTGCTCGTGTAGTCACTTTATATGACAAAACCGGGTACTTCTTTCTCTGACTATTTTGTTATTGAAAATTATATACTGCCGTCTTTCTGGAAAATTGAGTTATATATATGTATTCTGGCTGCAGGAAGCTCGAGTGTCCCCAGATATGTACATTGAGTCAGATGAGAGTGAAACCGGGAGTGAGGGCTCTGATGTTGAGTCCTATGACGAAGAAGATGATGATGATGATTATGATGATGATGATGATCAAGACGAATCAGTGGAGGAGTCTGATGCAGATGAAGATGATGATCTTGTTAGTGAGGCAAGCGTTGAGACTGGAAACGCTAGGGAACTTCGCGTGCCTGATGACAGGGTTGGTGGCTATTTTTTAATTTGTAGCAAATTATCTTGAGTAGCTTATAATATATTGCATTGAACTAAATTTAAGTACATGAAAAGAAAGTAAATTGCACGACGATTTATCAAGACTAAGCTCACTTTTCCCTGTATGTCCCTTTGGGTTGTCCACTAGCTTTGCCCATGATGCTGGTGATCAACTAAATGCTTAACCAGTGAAAATATGAAGCCACAACATGCTTCTTTATCTGATAAAATATCATTTGGTCATAATTTGTCATCTGTTTGCCTATCAAAATGATACGGATTGTGTGACTAGTTTCCTCTTTCTGAAAACAATAATGAATGGAGCTATCGTTTTCGACGCCTGAGAAGTGGAAGAAATGCAGAATTTTTGTGCTTATGCCATTTATTTTAACCGTGCAGGACCATAATCATTCAAGTCCAAAATCGTCAGATATGAGTAAAGATCTTAATCGGGTAACATCCTCAATTTCTCATGAAGCCTACCATGAAGATGTTAGAAACTCAGAAAAACTTGATATTCCAAGTATCATTGCTAGTGTAGAGCAGTCAAATAAGCCTTCTGGAGCACCTGAAGTTGCTTTCAAAGATGAAAGTACTGTGCGTCATACTAATTCTACAAATGCTTCTTGTATTAAAAAATCAGTAACAATGTCCAATGCCCCAGCACGTGATTCTCGTCATTGTTCTAAATGGGGGCGTACCTCTGTAAGTGAACTTGTTCTCATTATTAACAATGTCTTTTGTTCTTAGAATTTATCTGCCTTTTTGCTCACCCAAAATTGGGCAAAGCTCGAACAATCAATGTTGAACTGCCATGTTCATTTAATGTTCTAGTTTTCTGAGTCTAGTCATGTTTGCTTTTTGCTTTTATGTCCAATTTATTATATCTTTCGTAATATCTCCAGGCAAGGAAGAACCTTTCCATGGAATCCATTGAATTTTCAGCTGAAGATGAGTAAGTAATTGACACCTGTCAACTGTGACAGTTTTTCTTCATCTAAGTTTCTCGTAGTACCTACGTAGTTTTAACTGTGTCTTTTTCGTTGCCAAATACCCTGTGATGCTCAATCCACTGATTATCCTTCTGACCATACATAGTGTTGGAACTGGGACGTTTGAAGATGCCAGGACTGAATTGCAAAGTAAATTTGCCGAAGAGGTACATACTTGATTCTTTCTGGATAGTTTTTGTTTGTGTGGTGCAACTCTGTGGTGGCAATTATCTTTCTTGTTTTACATATTCTCGAAGGTTAAAGAGAACATAAAGCTGCAACATGATCCGCAAAAACAAAATAGCCCGTCGCATGAGCATCATCTGGATCTTGAGAAAGATGTATGTTCATTATGACAGATGTTTTCCTCTCCCCAGCACCACTCTCTTGAGATTGTTACCTAAATTTTCTATCTATAGGCAAGCCTACGGGAACAGTTGCCAGAAGAGAAGAATTCTTGTGCAACATCAACTCTTGAAGCAGGGCCGAACTTACCACCAGGAATCTTACCAGGATTAACCAGTATTGATGACAAGGTTGGTCTATATTTCCAATGTGTCAAAATAATGCGTTTTTATCTTGGACTGGAGAATTTAATCTGCAAATTTGTTGAAGGCTAAGGCAGATTTGGAGGAGTTAGCTTTGTTAGAAGCAGATCTCACCCGTTTAGAAAAGAAGGTCAATGACCTGAGAACGCGGCTTAATCTACAACATAAAACAAACCAAGATTCTGCATTGAATTTCTGTAATGAGCCCGAGCATACCTCAAATAATGAAACAAAGCTGTATGGCCGTCATTACTTACAATCTTACCACTGCATATTCTTCTTGTTTTAACGATCTTGTTCTGCTTCAATTTCACGAAAAGAAACTCTGTTTGACAGGAAGAATAAACCAGATACTGAAGTTACAACCGGGCCACAATTTGGCAAGTCAAGAAGTAAGGTAAATCGCACCCTAAGAATTTGTTCCGTTATCTCTGCCAGCCTGTCCTTGGATACAAATATGAGAATCGAATAATTATTTGAAGCTTAAGTTGTCAGTTTTAGACGAATGGGACGATGAGGACTTTCAACTCTAGCTTATTTCAGCCAGCCAGAGTTTGAACTTATTGGGGGTAAAAAAAACAAAATACCTAAAGAGGAAAAAGAAGTGGGAACGAAGAACCAACTGTTCAGCTCTATTTACTCGATGGATGTGTGAGCAATTCCATAATAGAAGATTTGAGACGTTTATCCAGAGGAGGAGGAGGAGGACGATTAAATCACATATGTTGTCCCTCAACCAGAGGCCAACGCTCAATTTTGAACGATATAGATATGTATTTGGACTTGCACTAGATGTATTATTTGTTAACTTTCGGTATTTGGTATAACAGGAAAGTCAATTCGGAGCAGAAAATGATAATGAGAGAAAGCTGGGATCAACGTCCTTGCCAAGCAATCATCCATCGCAAAATAGTTCTAAGAAGTTCGGTACAAAGAAAGAGGTAGGTTTCGCATACTTAACAACTTTGAAGGGTGAAATCTGTACTGTTAATTTTGTTGTCGCAGGGACTATAATTGTCAATAATCGATGTTCCTCATATCTCTGTCTAATCCTAGGGGGGAAAAATGGAAACACACGCATCTTAATTGCTTTTGTGATACATGTCATTGCTATCCCGGCGTCGTCATGATTTATATGACATTGCATAGTAAAAAAAATTGGCGCGTGAAGAGATCAATTTACTACATGAGGGGAAGACTTGAGAAAGTTTTATTAGTAATCAAGAACTAACTCTTGGCAGGGAGGTCTGTAGATGAGTTTTTGCTTTTAGTTGGGCCATTTATGTTCATGTTATTATATTGGAAATTGAAAGTATAAACTTAATTTATTAAAAATGCTCTCGCAGCAGGCAGCAACCCACTGACAAAACTGTCGTTCAGACTAAATTTTATGAAGGACAAAGGGCGCGAGTCTGCTAATTCTGCAGTAAACCCAGAAAAAGGAAAAGGATCCGAACTTCACCAACCACTGCCATCCCCCAATGCCTCTAGAGGATCTGAAGTTCATTCTTTATCAATCCCAGAAAAAGGAAAAGGATCTGAATTTCGCCAACCATTGCCATCCCCCCGTAAGCCTCGAGGATCTGAAGTTCATTCTTTATCAATCCCAGAAAAAGGAAAAGGATTTGATTTTCGCCAAGCATTGCCATCCCCCGGTAAGCCTCGAGGATCTGAAATTCATTCCGCATCAATCCCAGTTAAAGGTAGAGGTGTGGGCAGTTCTTTCCAGAACCCAGATAAAGGTTCAGGCAAAGAAGGTCCGTCACTTCAAGTTTCAGATAAAATGGGAAAATCAGGTAGTCACCCAGCGGAACACTCGGAGAAATGGAGCCAGCATCCACAACCCCTGGAAAGAGGCAAGTCAGAAAGCCACAAGCCCCATAATGTGGATAAAGGACGTTGATTAGAAGGCCGATGTGTGCTTACACGTAAAACAAATTCAAGATGATACAAAGGCCATCGCAATCATTCAGTACTGTGCTCATCCACGACCACCTGGGGTGTTGCTTCCACAATCTTCTCTTTTGGCTTATGGAGCACCGTAGGAAGAGAAACCTCGGCTGGTGACGTTGATACCAGGACCCTTATTTTTGGAGATGCTCAAGTCCGTTTGCCCCAAAATGCAGGATCAAGGCATAGGTCAACCATCTTCACGACTTAATTGTTAATCCATCGTGCTCTTTTCTGCTGGCACACTAACGAGTTTGCCGGTTTGCTTCTCCTCAGCTGGTAAAGCGTCTCAAGACTGTTGGGTGTTTTTTTTTTTTCAAAAAATGCGTTCAAGAAACTTTTTTTAATTAGTTTTCTTTGGTTCTTTTCTTTTTTTTCTTTTTGGGGGGATTGATTGCGGAATACGATCAGTGATCAGTCTGTGTGACTCTAAACTAAGAGACTAAAATCATTTTGTGTTGAAGCAAAATCATTTATTTAATAGATAAAACATTTTTATTATTTGTTTTTTTTAATTTACAGATTATAGATAGTATACCTGCAGAGCCTTATAAAGGAGGTAGAGGCTGTGAAGGATAGGGGTTGGGGGTGGGTGATTAAAGAATATTTAGATGAAATCAGAACTATAATTTTAAAAATATTTTTAGTGTGTACAAAACAAATATGTGAAGACGTGTTTCTAATAAGTACTTTTGGTGCCTTCAAACATTTCCTAAGAAATAGTGTAATTGCTGCTGGCCTACTTTTTGGTTATTGCGTCTAATATCCTCACGTACTCTTATTCCTCATGCTTCTTTTTTTGTAATATGAGTTTTGAAAAAGGAAAGGAATCTCTGTAACTAAAATAATGTGAAAAAATATTTATACTGTAAGGAATTGCCGCGGGCAAGAAATTCAGGCATACTCTTGTGCAACACAAAAGGACAACAAAATTATTGAAATTTTAATTATCTTTCCATTATCTGACTGTGTAGGAGTATTTAACTATAATTTTCTATATACTAAATAATTATAAAATAATTCGAATATATTTCGTCATCATCATAGGCTCAATGAATTGATGGCCAGACTCGAACCGTAATCTTGATCAAAATTCCTTGAGGAGCTTCCTAACTTGTTCGAGAGTCACAAAGAGCACCACCGTAAAAGGTCCCTGCCTTGAAATCGTAGGGATAAATCCCTTGTAAAGGGCCATTGGCCCTTCAGCCTTCACCGTCTTAAGAGCACAATCTAAGGCTCCCTTGTATGGTGGCGCCGCCCCTGGCTCCACCTTCATGTTCATCACCCTCGTCTTGATCACGTCCACCGGGTTTGATGCTACGGCCGCCACAAACCCCGCTGCAAAACTCGCCGTCACGTGGGTCCCAAGCCCGTCCTTCATCAACCCCTTCGCCAGAATCATCTCCTTGAACTGATCGTACGACGCCAACTGCGAAGCCGTCACGATCATGGCTCGGTTCACCGTCAGCGCCGAGCCGCGCCACAAGCTAGCCACCCCTTCCTGCTTCGACATGCGCGTGATCGCGTCGAACACTCCGCTGTAACTGCGCCGCTGAGCCACCGGCAGCCGACCGTCTGCTTGCATCCGGACCATTGCCACATCGGCAGGGTTTCCGACGGCCGCACCTACCCCCCCGGCAATAAGCCCCGCCACAATCTTTCGGCCCACGGGCAAGTTTCCCTTATCTGGGTCGGTCCATTTTTGCTTGAGCACATCGTAAAGACCCATACGAGTGGTGGAATAGAGTGTTTGGCGGAGCATGGTAGCGGAGAGGCCGGAAAACAGAGCAGAAACACCCTCGGAGCGAAGAATCTGCACACCAACCGATATGGGTCCGGCTCTGGAACCACGGGCTGCGATGCCAAGTGAGGAAGAAGCATCCATTGGAGGAGATTGTGAGGGAAGAGCAAAAGCGGGACGAAGATTACGAATGTGGTGAGAGTTAACGGAAGCAGAGACTTGCTCGCCCTGAAGCTGCATCCGAACTTTGATCAGATCAAGCGGGTGAGTGCTACATCCAGCGACAATGGACGCGATACCACCCTCAACAAAACTCTTAACACCCATTTCGCTTACAGAAAAGGGATCGAAGATTTGAAATTTGTATGTGGGGAGAGAGAGGGGGGGCGGGCAATGAGAAATAGGAGCGAGAGTAGTGGAATGGTGAGTGAAGAAGAAAAGGAAGGATTTATACGGGATGGAGAGAGAAGACTGGTTCTAGTTTGACGCAGCTTCGTTGTTCAACGCAGTCCGGTGCTTATTAATTATCAGCTGCGTTGAAAAGAGTTACTTTTAATGTCGTATATTTTATACTATTCTCCCATTTGTTAGGAGCTACATTAGGAGTTTTATATGTGGACGTCGGATCCCTCTTCGTTCGTCCCAATATCTTGAACTATTCAAAGGTTTCTACAGAACTTTCAGCATTCAGAGTTTCTTCTGGCTGATTTTATTTGATTTTAGTTAAGTTTCTATTTCATGTCAAGTTTTATTTTTATTTTTTTTATTCTGCCCTGATTTATTTTAATTGAACAAAAGGACAAGACGATGTTTAGAGAATAAAGATGGTTTTTTTGGCCAACCAATAAGTATAGAAATATATATATCTTTGATTTTGAAAGTGCTTAAATAAGAGATTAGATGACGGGAAAAATGAATAAATAAACATGAGAGCAGAAATTTTGTCGCCTAAACAAAATTATTGAATGGAGTACAGAAAAAATTATTTAAGAATCGAACTGGGAGGAGGGGGTCAATTGAAGGCGGAAATCACAATGAATGCTTGGGGTTGTCAAGGTAGAATTGAAAAACCTGAGAGTTGAAAAAGTAAGCACCAAATTGAGGAGCCATCCTGGAACGCAATTAAGGAGCCCTCATCCCTGTTCGCTGACTCGACACATACGCTCCTTATTGCCTGCTAGTGCCACCCCCCCCCCCCCAATCAAACTGATCTTCTTCTTTTTTGAAAAAATATATATTCTTTATATAATACTTAATTATTAAGTTGATCTTAACTTTAAATATAAGACTTATTTTTCATATTTATTAGTTTTTTTTAGATAGTCCTTATTGATATTCCATCAATCATAATTAAATAGGAGAAAAGAGAGAGAATATTAAAAAAAATGATTATAGTATTTTTAAAAAAACATTTCATATTTGTTATAATTAACTAACATAACTAATTTTTTTAATTTAATCAAATTAATTAAATAGATTTTATTTTATGATCTGGATGTGTATTAAATTGAATCATATAATGCACCAATGGGGCCCAGCTCGGCCTACAAAACGATAACGAGTCCTAGGGTCCGACTATTTTCTCAGAGGAAGGCATCGGGCCCGTAATTAGGATGATCCGTCCATTAATCTTTAAAGGAGTGAGAAGTGAAAACTGAAGACTGCATCGTGATGGGGTTATAATTAAGGAAATCATGACATCTAATGAACATAATGTCCATGACAGGGGAAAAATAAGACGTTTTCTTTTCCTTTTCTGACTTCCTATGGACTAAACATGAGCATTATGATTATTAGACACTACGAATTAATCGTAATGAAGGATCTAAAAGAGAGTTTAGAGTTATTTGCGTATTTTGTGATTTTTTTTTTTTGGAAGAATACAAGATTGCACTGGCGTAGCGGGGAGACGAAGTCCAAAATTAGTCAAGCATTTAGAAGGGGGCAAAAGCACTGTAAAAACTGGTGCGGCAGATTTTCTTTCCCTAACTCAGACGTACATGCACCATGCACCACAGAACACGCGAGAGCACAGGGGGTGCCCAAGAAGCTGGGGAACAAACAAATCATATTAACCTTACATGGATGGTCTAACTTAAATATCGTGTCACCAACCATTTCATTTGAATCCAACACAAAAAAAATCTAAACTTGGTGCCATCTACAACTCTCCGCTGTAATAAAATCCGCAGACTCTGAATCCATCGCACATCCCACCGTTGATTTTTTCCCCCCCTTTTCTCCTGATCATCCCTCTCAGAAAACAGTTAAATACTTTGTTCAGAAGGTAGCACAGGGCTCTCTCTTCCCTCCCTCCATGCATTTATGATCGATGAGCTTTGGTTCCACCCAGTCACGAGTCATCATGAATATTCATCGTTAGCCAGAGGCCATCTTCATCGATCTGGGTTCTCATTTCCAGAAATGGAGGCTCAGCGGTTGAGAGAGCTCATGTCCCTCTGGTCTACTCTGCAATCTACTCGTGTGGCCCTTGTGGGTGGAAATCACACCGCCTCTCGATTTTGCACTCGCTAATTCATCCCTATCTCTTTTTTCTCCCTCCTCCTCTCTTTCTCTCGTTTCCATTTTGTTTCTTCATACTGCAGTTTCTTTTACCCACCACACCTAATTTCTGTGGCTAACGTTTAACTTGTTTCAATTTCACATTTATTAGATACGGCCTGGCCCATCTAACATGGCCGTCGATCCGGCCTCTACTTTCCCTTCCCGATCAAAACCTTGCTATTTGATCATTACACTTACTAGCTACGAAATCATGAAGGCCCTGTATCGCCTCGTCACATTTTCCTTACTTCTTGTTTCTTTCACATACGTCAGTTCATTCGTTACTGATAAACACCCTTCTTCATCGATCACCCATTATGAGCAATCCGTCGTGTCCGCTTCAGATTCCGTCAACCTCGATCAGCTTATCTCTGTGTTCTTCCGCGACTTGACCAATGAAGGTCTCATGAAGAGAGAATATCAGAAATCGGTTTTCCTCACCAACGCCGTAGAGCAAAACCTGATCACTGGGGCTCGGGGTCTCGCCGATTACAACATCGACCTCATTGCTCTCAGTGATTTGGAGAAACAGAGCTCTGTTCTTGACAGAACGGTCGATTTCATCTTCACCTTTAATTTCCAGGAAGCTTCGAGATTCATCGACCGGACTCTGAAAACCGGTGGGGTTGTCACCGTTCTTCTGAATGACAGTCCCTCAGCTGCATTCTACAAGCCTGCCAATTACGAAATCGCATATATGAGGCGGTTTGACTTGATTGCGGTCGCTATGTGGAAAACCAGCATCACACAAACAAAATCCGAAAACCATAGAAAATTGCTGTCGGGGCATGCTTCAGAGGCCAAAAAAGCGGCGTTGCTGAAACTAGAAGACGTTCTCTTGGAGCCTCCACGATCGGCATCGAAGAAGTCAAGCCGGTATTTGAAACGCACGAGATACCTTCCGGATTTGATGGGAGATTCTCTGGAGAGCTACCCCCGACGGGTTTTCATCGAAGTGGGATCGCCAGAGAAAGACGAAGGGAGCAAAAGCGACTGGTTTTCGAGGAATTACCCGACAAGAAACAAAGATTTCGAGATGTACAAAATCGAGACAGTAACAGGGGAGTCATCGGGGAAGGAAGTGCCCCAAATCGGGATGTCGGATTGGTTGAGGAGGAACGTGAAGGAGGAAGAGTACGTAGTGATGAAAGCAGAGGCAGAAGCAGTGGAAGAGATGGTGAGGAGCAAAACGATAAGGTTAGTGGATGAGCTGTTCTTGGAATGCAAGCCAGAGTTAGGGAAGAAAGATGAGAGCAAGAGTCGAAGGGCTTATTGGGAGTGTTTGGCATTGTATGGCAAGTTGAGAGACGAAGGTGTGGCAGTGCACCAGTGGTGGGGATAGACATTGCGAAAAAGAGAGAGAGGATGCGTAGATAGAAGAGAAGATTTCATGTTCTGAGAGCAAATTAATGGTGGTCCTAGCAGTCAACTATATTCGATCGAGCGAGGAAGGAGGTACTCTTTTTTTTTTTTTCCCCCTCTGGGTTCTAGTCTGCGGCTTGTGTGTTTGGTGTTTCTTTATTTATTATATTTCTTCCCTCGTTTTTTTTTTTTGCAACACGGTGGCGAGGTAATTGGATGTTTGTTTTGTTGTGGAAATGATTCTGTAAGATTTAAGGTTGATGGAGTCCTGGAGATGATGATTGCGGTCGTGACACTGCTGAGGAGGGAAGTAAGGAGGGTTTGAGGGGTGACTTGTGTATAAACACTGCGAAACAAAAGAAAGCAGCTTGTTTTTCTGGGGACATACTTAAAGAGCATGGTGCTGCTTATTTTCTCTCTTGAGGAAGGGCAGATATATATAGTTAAGACCAATCTATTTTGCAGCTTCTATAATCTACCTCTAATCACTGTTATCTATCAAAAGCTGTTAATTTACCTTGGATATGCTTCAGCAATTCCCTCGTCTTGCGCACTCATTGAAAATTTAAGCCACAACTAATAACAAGAAGTTTTACATTTCTTCAGTCTAACGAGGGGGGAAGTAAAAACAACGTTCTTAATATTTTACAATAATCGCCCCCCTTTGTGGTAACGATCATCATAAACAGAGATATTACATCCAGCACTTATTGGCTAATACGAAAAGGCAGTTTTGCCCCAAAAGTAAAACAAAAACAAGGAGAGATTCTTTCTGGGCCAATCAAACAGGACATATCCAAGGCAACAATAAAGGCCTAGTTACATAGCTCGCGAGCTATGCCAACCCTTTTGTTCACGGTGTCGAACAAGATCCTAACGTTTTGCTGCTGGTAGTTGGCAATGACATTCGACACGGAGTTAACGTTGTTGGGTGCTGCCGCCATAGCCAAGCAAGCCAGGGAACCTGAACTGCTATGTATCAGAGTGTTCTCCATCGGCAGCTTCAAATCCAAGCCTGTGAAATGCAATGTAATTGCCGGAGCCGTATTCTCGTACGTCTTAACGAAGCACGTGTCAAATGCCCCCAGGCTCGAGAACGGACCTCCCACCTGCTTCCGAAACTCGTCCCTGATCGCATTGTATGCCGGCTCAACGAACCTGGTTATCACCGTACCCGAATCTATTATGGTTCCGGATCCTTTGTACGGGTTGAACTCCAGAAGCTCGCTTGGCAGAGGGACCCACACGCGCCCTACGCTGACCCCCGTAAGGTTCACATAGTACAGAGATGGCCGGTGGGGGTTTTGCAGGAGGGGGGTGGTCCGAATGTTCCTGGGTTGTCCCACGGGTCCCAGTTTGAGTGACCCGGAGAAGTAGTAAGACTTGAAACTGGGCAGGCAGTAGGAGAACACGCCCGAGTATAGATATCCGGTTTGGGAAAGCAAAGACAGAGGCCCACGGCCTAAGCCCAGTAAACCTTGGGCCGGAATTGACCGGCCGGCGATGGCGTTGATGCAGCCGAAGGCATAATTCGGGATGACCTTGTCGGCTAACGTGAGACAATCACGCACGAGCGTGGCCGCGAAAGTTGAGTCCGCATAGGATTGGTTGAAGGAGCACCAAGCGGATCCGGTATGGAGGCAGGAGAGCCCGCGGACCGAACTGCACTGCTGGTCAGAGCAACCCAGCGACCCGTAACTTGTGGAAGCGTTGGGAGAGAACACGGTGGCGGAGCACCCGGTGCATCCGGAGCAAGGGACCCAGGCCTCATTGCTGCTGGTGTCGAGGACCATGAACATGAGCTGTCCCGGAGATCCGAGTTTGACCCGGACCACGTAGTTGCCGATGTTGAAGTTCTGACCCGAAGCAATGGGGATGGAGGAGACGGACTTTTGATCGACGAGGGTGGACAAGTACTTGAGTCGTTCAGGATCCTTAGTGGCCATGGTCATGATGGTGTTAACCCAAGATTCTGTTTTGGGTGGGTTGAAGGGCGAGCACTTGCCATAAATGGGTATGACGGTGAGGCCGGAGTCGTCGGGCTTTGAAGCGCACGGGTCGACGGCAATGGAGGAAGATAGATAAATTGCACAGAGAAGGCTTAAGGTTGTGATGAACTTGATAGTGACAGCCATGGTCTGGTTGGAATTAGAAGTGAGTCCTAACTCACTGAGGAGTGGCTGGTGGATGGTTGTGAGCTCTGCATGGCTGGGTCGTGAGTGTACATATAAGAGCACGAAAGATCGGAGGGGCTGAAATTACTAAACTAACCTCGAAATTATTAGAGTGGCGGCAGATATTTTATAACGATATGCGAAGGAATGAGATTGGAGCAATTACCACGGGACAAAGGTACAGGTTGGACGTAGAAACGCGATGCAAAGCCAATTATTATACTACATTGTGTGCTTAATATAAAAGTCAAGTAGTTATTTGAAAACATTAAAAAAAAACCGAAGTTAGGTTTTTTTAGCTGAAAATTAAATTAGGTAATTATAACGTAAGTTATATAATTTTTCTCAAATATTTATATCTATCATCAAATTATGCATGTTGGTTTATAAGTTAGGTAAATTAGTTTAAAAAAATAATAAACATAAATACTTTAAAATAATTTATTTAAATTAGTCAATTAAATTTTATATTAAGGACAAGAGATAATATATTACAAACAATATAAATTATCTTAAATTTGTGAGGGAGCATAGCTTCTAAATGCAGTTTAGTCGGCATAGCTGTGAAATGGCTGTGAACTTGGATTAGCACGGTTGATTGGTGTGTGTAATCGCAGAGACTCAATAATTAACCTTGAAATTATTGTATTCAAGGATATTTGTGCGATGAGATGATCTGGCATCTACGTGGACCAATGATCCAGGGACCAAAGTACAGGTTGGACGTGGACCAAGGGTTTGCAAAGCAACTCATCCTGGTAATGTAAAATAATAGGACTTATTTATTTTGGAGCGAAGTGATATTCTAGAAAAGTTAAATCTGGATCAGCACCACTGGCCCCGCCAAATATGCTATACGTACAATAACATCATGTCTCCTCATGTAGCAAGAAGCTAAGTTAATGCTGTGATGAGATGGGATTGAGAAGCGAGGTGTGGATAAGCGACGAAAGAAAAGTCAGGATTGAAAGATGTCTCGTGAGGAGGGAGAATATAAATAAAAACGAGCACCACTTAAGGTTGTTTGTCCTTACGCAGGTCTTGCACGAGATGCGGTCGGTCACGGACTTTCGGATCCCCTCTTCCTTCCTTCCTTCCTTAATTTTTATACTTTTGCCTGTCTCACCGCGTTCAATTCAAATATATAGCACATTGATCCACTTTGCAATAATCAAGCATATCAGCGTTCAACAAGTCAACAGCAATTCTTTTATTTAAAATACATGGCGACGGAGACGCAAGTTGCTGAATTTTTTAACCGCTCGTCTGAACTAATTCCTGAAGAATCTCTCGTACTTTCTGCTGAACTGCAGGTCTCAGTTTGTCCATAAATTTTTTTTCCTGCGTTTCGTCTCTTATAGGCCTATTTCCAAGGCTTCCATGTCCCAGACGCCAACTTCTCAGTTTAAAACCCCGAGGAAAATCCATGACTACTGTTCCTTTTCCCGTGCATTTCAATTCGTGCACACCATTACTTTTTTTTTTTTGGCCTAAGAGCCCCACACATTCACGGGGCCACAGTGCCGTTCGATTCATCAGGATAATGGGCAACTATTTGTCAGCTAGTTCCCGCATTTCAATCATATTCCATTCTATTTAATCCATCTGTATCCATTACTTTTTTGCGCTGAAGCTGATTAGTGAGTAAAGGTCACTTCAAATATTCATTTGTTTTGTGCTAATAAGATTTTCAATTTATGACGCAGAATCAATTCTGAAAACATTGTGATTAATTCTATGACAGAAAACTAACCCATACATCGCATGTATGTTGCAGCAAAATCTGGAGCAGCATCGTCACAGGATGACACGAAGGCGCTGCGATGCAGAGTAACCAGCTAAAATACAGTAACTCAACTCAATAATAACTCGGAAGATTTGAAATCAGATAAATAATGCTCTCGCGTGTAAGTAAGCCAGGAATCTCTGAGATGCTTTCTAGCTGAAAAAAGAGGATTATGCGGCGTAAAATCTTTTAATGAAGTGATTTATTTGGTTAGTACTTGTTTATTTTTTTTTTGGGCCTGAAGTTACTACTGGTCTTCATTGCAGATAATTTGGAGTACGGCGCAAGAACATTACGGCCCTACTAGCCTCAGTATGGCCTCTGTCCAACTCATTGGGCCTCGCCTCATCACTGAGGGTCTACTTGCAGATTACCGCCCAACCCATGACAGCACATCCCCCCCCCCCCCAAAAAAGAGTCTTTTGTAAATTATAGAGAGACAGAGTGCTCAAATACCGAAAGTATTCACAAAGAAATATTAAGTATCTATGAGTTTCTTTTTTTCACTCTTATATGCCTTGAAATTTTATTTTCATAGCAAAAATACCCTAACTGTTATCTTTCATTAAATTTAATAGTCAAATAATATGGTATAATCAATGTTTTTAACACAGGCAAACTTCATGACAAATAACGGTTCATGATAAAAATGGTATGAAATAAAACTTTCAAGGTATATGAGAGCAAAAAAAAACTCTCAAGTGCTAGGTGTTCCTTCATGTAAAACATCTTATTTCAAATACAAATAGCCACAAAAAGTACTGTTTATGGGCTTCATTATTACTTTGATTTACGCTAATCATGATCATGATGATAACAAGTGACTGGGTTGAATGCTCGAAAACTCAACACTATTCAAGCCAGATATTTGAATTTAAACTTCGTTGGTAGGAAAAATATGGATGTAAAGATTTTACTCCAACTGAAAACTGGCCCGGTTTGAATTTGTATTAGGTTAATAGTATCAAGTGTTGACTTATCAACAACAAAAGTCACAACAACGTTTAATTAACTTGAAAGCGAGAGCAGCGTTAAGCGCATGGGCTTTGCTCATGAAACAGCAATGAAAGGTCAGGCATCATAGTATTTCTCACGGCTTCATGACAATTGAGTCACCGACCACCTTCCTTTGCATTTCTGCTTTCGTGAAAATGGGGATCAAACTTTTTCCTTTTCGGGGTCGCTGAACCGAGCACCGGAATCAAATCACGGCTCTATTATTAAAAACAAAGTTCTTTATTGTGGACCATAGAGATCTCGAATTCTCGATGCCTTCTTATGGAAAATGAAATTCTAGAGGCCTCTCAATATTGACTAGGCTCGCGTTGGGTCACCCATTTAACAATTAGACGCCACGATCCCTTTTCTTCACCATTAACCTAAAAGCCTACCCACCGATCGACCTCACACCTCTAATTCCCTGTTCCTGCAGTGTGTGACACAGTAATTCCCATCTGCCCATTTCAGCTTTTATGCATCATCCATCCTCGCAACTCAGTATTTATCCTTCATTAATTATTTTCGTTATTTGTAGTTCATTTGCTCATATAGTTTTGACTTTTAGTGTCATTTTGACCCACTAATTTTAACACTCACAGCACGCAGCAATGTTATGTGGCTCAATGGCTTTGAGATTTTCGGGCGTCCCATGGCCATGCCGTGGATTTTTTGGACTAATTCTGGTCCAAACCAAGACTAAATCAGAAAAATACGCAAAATATAAATTAAACTTGACCCGAAAAGAAAAATAAAAAGAAGCAAGGTCAGGTCAGAGACATTCCGCTCCTAAAATCACATATACCGCTACTACCATCCACGTAATACTGCATGGATTTCAAGAATTAAGAAAAACACATACTTATTAAATTATAATACTACCTCCGGTCCTTAATATAAGACTCCGTTTAACTTTTATGTTGGTCCTAAATATAAAACCCTAATCCATTTTGTCTCTCATATTTACTCAATTTTTTTCAAGATAATCCTTCTAATAATTATAGTTTTAGCTAACATACTTGATTAGTAAGGATATTTTAGAAAAGACAACACCTATTTATTACAAATAATTCACTTAATTTCTTTTCTTAATTTTCTCAAATTAGTCAACTGGCTTTTATAATTAGGACAGGATGTAATATAAAATAATAATACTGCATGATTTTATTTTTCTTGCACTCTATATCCTAACCTGCGGACTATGACGGTGCATTTCTTTTCGCCGTCCAAAATTGAAATATTGTCACTTGTCTGGTCATTCTTTAGTCAATCCCTCACTCATTAAATGTGAAGACCATGGCCCTTAAAGAGCCGATCACCAGTCCCCATCTTTATCATTATCTATCAAGAAAATTACACATACATGTGGCTTTGATTTGATCCCATGTTCCGTCGCTGTACCGTGTATTATTTGTTTAATTCATATTAACGTCAGGCGCCTTTTCATTCAGATCAAAAGCCAAAGCTTTACATGCGCCCCCGCACCGACGCCAGAAAATCCCGTAATTTACCTCTGAACTCGAAGCAGATGGATTCTACCGTTAATTTCGTTACATAATGCGTTAGAACACGAGAGAGAAATTAAACGATGTTTGACAATCATTAAAAGTATTTTTTCACAAAATGAAATAAACTTTTCTACATGTTTGATTTGTATATTATAAAAATATTTTTAAAATAATAATTTAATTTTCATCCAAACACTCTCTAGATTTCCTAAATAATTAGGTTAATCTATTTTTCAGGAAGGACGGGGAAATTATCACACTGAGGAAATAACACGTCGTGAATATTACTGTACCTTGTCCTGTCGCCATCCATAATCGTTGTTTGTTTCCTTGCTTCTTTCGTCATACCAAACACCGCACTAATTATTTAAGGCGCACTGGGCAAAAAAAAAAAAAAAGAAAAAAGAAAAGACAGATGTATAAATATATGTGTGTATTTTCTTGTTCCAAAATTAGTTGGAATGTTATTATCACTTAATCGTGAAGTTTTAGTTCCGAAGCCACCGTTTCGTCCCCGTCTTTGACAAGACTATTAGACTAATAAGACGGCATTTGACCAAAAAAAAAAAAAGACTAATAAGACGGCATACCATTCTCAACTAAATAACAATTCTTTATATCCCCAACGTAACTAAACTTTGAATATAATCCGTCTTCAGTTGCACATGGAAACAAAATAGACATATTTTGAGACCAACGACAAATTATTTCGAAAGAAGTGAATATAACTTGGAAACGATAATTAAAAACAGAGTGACAAGTGAATAAAGCTGATGAGCCGTTGAAGGATTATTTTCCGCAATGATGATCACATCTTTTGGGCAGAAAACTGACATGTCATGATATTATCAATTAATTTATATTTAAGCACCGTCAAGCTTTAGAAAGATATTAGCCTTTATGATATGAATCCCCCCCCCCCCAATCCATGACACTTAAATTCAACATTCCTTTTAAAAAAATATCGAGTGTCTTCTCTTTAGCTTAGTAATTGATTGATGGTTAGTGGTCATTTAGGGAGTATTTAGGTAGAAACTAAATCATAATTTTAAAAGTGTTTTTACAATATATAAGGTAAATATGTGAAAAAATTTATCTCGTTTTGTAAAAAATACTTCTGAGAAGTATTTGAGGTGCTTCTAAACACCTTTTTAGTATTCAATGGAAGGTAAAAATTAAAAAGCGCATCTGTTTAAGTTCCCCACCCCCCTTTCAGTATTGCGTGATAATATTTGGTCTAAATTTTGGAAATTTTGTATGGCGGCATGTTTCCGGTTCCGGCTAAAGTATTCCCTCAGTCGTGATTTACGTACCTGTCCTGTGTTAATCAATTCGATCTTCCCATTAAAAAAAGCGAGGATCTGGTACCTAATATCTAATCACTCATCTAGTTACGTGATGTGATCGCGGTTACTATGTGTTTAAGTACTTTGCCTAACTGCGAGCTTTCAGGCTTCCGCTGATATTTTTGCATCTTTGAATGTTAAAAACGGCAAGGGGATTAAATTTAGGTTTTGAATATAAAATTTTAATTCATTTTTTTATATTAATTATTCTTTAAAAAATAATTTATCTCACTCATAAACTAATGTAATATAATGTTATATAAAAATATTTTTAAAAAATTATAATTAATAATTTATTTAACCTATTTAATCTATCAAAATTATTGAAACAACTTTTATTTTATTTGCCATGATTAAGTTCTGGCCACTTGCTGTAAATTGCAATATTATATTATCTCTACTTTTAAAATATTACATTTTATATTAAGAACTGATATAATAATTTTTTTAGGAAAATGATAAATAGAAAAACTGAAAAATGTAGTATTCCGCGTCAATGACATAATAGTCAAAAATTACAAAGGAAGTGGTACTTAGTCTGGCATTTTATAAAGGGAGAATAACAGTCAATTCCCACATAAGAAAATGTAATTCCCACATAAAAAAATTACATGGCCTGTCATTACAAGCTGTTCAGGTTATTATTGAAACTTTTTAACAATTATTTCTCTTTTATGGAATTTGATTGTGATTCTCCTTTTTATAAATATAATTAAATGACTAAAATATCCCCATGTTAAAAAGTTTATTAGCAAATTCTGAATGGCCAATAATAAATATTAAATAGCAAATAACAAGAAATATATTGGTAATGATAAGTTATTTATTAATAATGTTGAACAGTTAGTGACAATAAATATATCATCAATGACAAGTTTGATAGGTTTTTTTAAAACTTGATATAAGAAAATTTTAATTATTTAACTATATTTGTAAAATATAAAATCAGATACTATTTTTTTCTCTGTCATTATTAACTCTTAAACGTCTCAGTTGGAAAAATGATAATTTCAGGGATTTTTTTTTTTTAAAAGGAATAAAATCGAAAACTCAAGCTATTCAATCACATTAACACCGAGTACACTTCCAGCTTCAGAGGGGCCCACTTTCACGTGCCCCGCCCGGCAACCTTCCAAGCCACCATTTCCAAACTCCCGCAAAGAATCGAACCGACCATTAAACGGACCGGATCATGGCTCAAAAACCATCGTTGGATCCGGTCCGAATATTTGATAGGCAAAGAATTCACGCATTCCCATGCTTCCCAACGAAATTCCTATTCCTTTTCCTTTTCTCCGGCCAAAAAGAAAAAAACAAACGAAATTCCTTTCCCACGCCCCACACAATCAATTCCTTATTCCTCTGATCCTATTTCAGTTAAAAACGATTTGATAATTCATATTTAATAACCCCACGAAGTTTTACCCGCGTTCTATTTCTTTCCCGAAAGAAATACGTGATCGGAAAAGATAACGAACAAATCAAGCCTCCCCTTTGTCCGAATCGGACCTTGTTGGGTTTTAGCATCTGCTTCACTTCCTCGCATCGTCGGATTTGGCATACGCAAGCAACTTAGAACCCTTCCCCCCCGCAAAAATTTGGCTTTTCTAGCTAATCTCGCTGTCGCAGTCTGCCCCATCTTCGTCACGCTCTCATCACCAGAAAGGTTTCTGATTGTTTGGCCGCTTGATTGTCTTTGCCGTTTGTTTCGCCACCTCCGCTGCGGCCACTGAATCCATCTATGTTTGGTGGTGAGATTAGGAGTTTAGGGTTTGTTGCTTTCGTTGGATGTTTATTGGGTGCAGGATAAATGCGTGTCACCGGGGATCTAGGGTTTTCGAGCCTGGTCCTTGTGGTGGTATGTTTCGTTGTGCCGGTGATCGGGTTCGTAATTCACCGGAAATGGCAATTTGCCTTGGCCAGGCAGGAGGAGATCAAGAGGCTTTTGATTTTGGCCGCCGAGGAGGCAGCTCGGGCTGAGAGTGAGGCTTCGTATACCTACGCTACATTTCCTGCTCCTAAGATTAATCAATGTGCACTGTGTTATTCCCCCACCACTACCCGATGTTCCAGATGCAAAGCAGTTCGCTACTGGTATGTAGCTTCAATTTCATCTGCCGTCTTGTAATTCATTTTGTAATTTGTTGCCTCGATTTTTAAGTTTTCCCAAATCAATCAAGCTTCTCTTTCCATTCCATATAATTTGGTCGCTCTTGGAGATTCATTGTTCAGACTCTCGTGCTCACGAATTTCTATGTAGTAGCCATTAGTTCTTGCTGGCAGTGTTTGTCTGATCTTTATTTTCTTTCCCTTTGGTTCAGATCATAGAGTAATAATGTATTTTTCCTGATGCGAATATGGAGTGAATTTCATGTCACTTCTGAACCCCAATATGTGACGTCTGTATTTCCTTATTAACAATGAGAAAAGCAAACAAAATCCGAATGTTTGGCTTGCATTAGTTAGCTGGTCACTTCAGTGAGTTAGCCGCTGAAATCCATTCCTGTGCGTAATCATCATACATAAGAATTGGTTATTTCTCTTTATATATTGATCCCGTTGCAACTCTTCAAAAAGTTATGTTTTTAATTCCGTGCGCAATGCATTTGGAGAAGGTGTTTCTTTCCAAGTTTTTCTCATATTGATATCATCATGGTTGGGTGTGGGTATTATGTCTTTGTATGTTCTTGTCTTCCTGACATTTGTGATGATTTGTTTGATTAGATTGACAGCAATATGGAACATCACTAGGGTTCTAAATTATTGTTTTATCACATGTGTTTTAATATTTCCACATTTGGTCTCGTGTTATAGTTCGGGTAAGTGCCAAATTATTCACTGGCGTCAAGGCCACAAAGAAGAATGTCACCCTCCCAGCACACCATGCCAGGATGATGATGTGTTTGATGACCATAAGGTAGTAGAGAAAGACCGCCGTAGAATTCTTGAAGAGAAATCTGAGGTTGAAGATACAAGATGTAAAACGGTCTCTAAGAAACCCCCACTGCCTGGGATCAGTTCTCCTGAGGTCCTATGTGGAAAGGATGATATCAATAATGTCGAGCCTCTTGCAGCTGGGAGTATAACAGATTCTAATTCTGAATTATCTAGTCACTCATTTTCTGGATTCTCATCTTCTGCTGTTGCTAGTGAATCATCTGATGATGCCTCTGTATGTGAGAGTGTCGTCTCAAATGAGCCTGAGAGATCAGAAGGACATATTTTTGCTGATCCTGCCCTTGACATGCATGATGCCCATTCAAGTGATAATAGCATGGATATGACCATGCCTTCATCACCAAAGTTTGCTAATTTGGTTGATTCAATAGATGGTCTCTCTGTTATGCACAATTTTAATCAAACTAGACCTAGTTTTAGTAAAGAAGAGGGTAAGCTTGCAAAGAATGGATCAGCATGTTTGAGTATGGGTAAGGAAGTAACAATCGAGCCTCATACTGTATCTTCTGGTTTCTGGGATAAAACTCTTCATTCCAAAGGGACTAGAGATGATGCAAAAAATGTACGGCTTCCATCTCCTTCCAGTGAATCCTCTCGCCATTGGAAATCTGGATCTGGCTCTTCCATTTGTGTTTCAGTTGATACCTTGCCTCCCATGCATGTACAAAGTCAAGAGGAAGAAGATTCAGCTTCTGACAGTTGTGTTCAAAACTCAGTTGGGAATATGGCAAGTGCAGGGTCAGCATTATCAGAGAATGACAGCATGGATTCTTTGAAGGGGCAAAATTCTGCATCCGTAGACTGCAAAGGGTCCAACGGTACAGGTGTTGGTACTATGAGGAAAGATAATCATGGGCGGCCCTTATGTTTCGTCCGTCACTCTTCAAGTGTTGGTAAAACTTCAGGTTGTGCAGATGCTTCAAGCATCAGCAACTTGCAATCAGCACGCTCTAAGGCATCAAGTAACATTCTAGTTGACCCTGACAGTGCATCACATCAATTGGAGTCGGTTGAAATGAGACGTGGGCCAAGTCCATATGCTGATGCTCATTTAGAGTCTAGAACTAAAAGTCATGTGCATTCCAGTACAATATGCAGGAATAATGGTGTTCAAGCCAGCACCACTACTTCATCTCAAGTTGCTAGCCGATCTCCAACTCCTAAGAATGGCTTGAAAACATCTATGTTGAAGGTTGTTGATCAGTTTAAGGGATCAAATTTATCAAAACGCTTGCCTCTAACTGTTGGGAGTGAGGTTACTGGAAGATATAGTGGCAAGGTTTTTCCTGAACAAACCTTGTTATTTCTTTTGCCGCTGAATGCACTGTATACTTACATGTTTTTGTAGCTATTGCAGGGTCTTTTTTCGTATGACTTGTTTGTCAAACTTTATAACTGGCACGAGGCAGAGTTGCAGCCCTTTGGTCTTGTAAATTGTGGAAACAGGTGATATGATGTGTTTTGTGTTTGACAAATTTATTTGAAAGCTGCTTGCTTGTGAGTAGACTTGTAACAAATTGATGGTGTAGTTGAGGTTTCATGCTTTACATATTTTTTCTTTTTGGTTAATTGGTTAGTTGATGTGAGTGGTTAGGTTATAGAATTTTGCCAAAGATTTGATATTATGTTTCTACAGCGTAGAATTTGCCTTTGCCATCTTCTAAACATGCCTTTGCCCCTTGTATGCAGCTGTTATGCCAATGCCGTGCTCCAATGCTTAGCATTTACACCTCCCCTTACTGCTTATTTGCTTCAAGGACTTCATTCCAAAGCATGTACGTTTGAAATCACAGTTTCCCTATGTGCCAAAATTCTTGACTAGACTCTAATACTTGTTGCATTGTGTTGAATTTTTTGTGTCTGCTTCAGGTGCTACTAAGAAAGGGTGCTTCACATGTGAGTTTGAAAGTTTAATTTTGAAGTCAAGAGGCACAAAATCTGCGCTCTCTCCCAAGGGTATTCTTTCCCAATTGCAAAATATTGGCAGTCGACTTGGTAATGGGAGAGAAGAAGATGCGCACGAGTTTTTAAGGTTTGCTTTTACATATTATAGAATATTGTAGAATAGAATTTTTTTTAGCATAGTCCTTGTTTTGTGTTAATTCTTAGTTGATGAACTGTAATGCTATATTTGACAGGAGTGTTATTGACACCATGCAACTGGCTTGCCTCACGGAAGCTGGTATTAATTCATCTGGCTCATCAGAAGAGGAAACAACTTTAATGGGTCTAACATTTGGAGGTTACCTTCGTTCAAAGGTAATATTCAAATTATAACTTTATCTGGAAAGGAAAATATAAAACTGTGTGAAGTGGTCCCCCCTCCTTTTTGCCCTCCTATATTTCTAGGCTCTAGCATCCTTTGACACAAGCAGCAGGCGTGATGAGAATCTGATAATATGTTGACAGATAAAATGTATGAAATGTGGTGGAAAGTCTGAGCGTCAGGAAAGAATGATGGATCTAACCGTTGCAATAGAAGGTGAGATAACAACCCTGGAGGAGGCTCTACGGCAGTTTGCTAGCACTGAGGCTCTCGAAGGAGAAAACAAGTATCATTGTGTCAGGTTTGTTGATTCTTGAGTTTTTTAACTCGTTAATATTGATCTATTCATTATATGCTTGGGCTGCTATCATATTGGAGTTTTGTGATCAATTTTAATGATTTGCTGGTAATGGTAATTACTCGAAAAATTGCTGGATTTAATTGTTTCGGCTTCTAGTTTGGGAAATGGTTCTGTTTCTTTCTTCTTTCCTTAAATGCACAAGCCTTAGGAGGAAAAACACTGATGTAGAGTCTGATCAGAACTACTGACTAAGGTCTGTTCGGATGGGATCAAATTTAAGATTTTATGAAAGTGTGAAGATGGTGGAATTGAGGGCATCATTGGTGGTTAAGGATGCTAATAGTTGCGAGCTTCCTGGTGCTTTGAACTGCCCCTGCAAAACCAAGGTTTGATCGTTTGAAGGGTTGTGGGGCAGATTCGAAAAAGAAAGAGTGATTGGGGGTCTTGGATTTTTTTTTTTCCTTCCTCGATTTGTTTGTATGACATCTGTTCAGGGATGATTATTTCAGTCTGGCTTTAAGGTAAATGATGCGGATTTGGCATTAAATTGAAAACTTTCACGCTTAGGCCTTTGGAGTAATCCCTTCCGAGGTTTGATCACGTGCTAAGAAAAAGAGTAATTCAAATAGTCATACTCATATTTGTACCTTTTACTTTATGCCGTTATGAATGAGAGTTAGCTAAACTTATCCTACTAGTGCCTATCACAATGATGACTACCTTTTAATACTAATAATTGGTCAACAGTTAAGATTGAAAATTAAAACATCAAAATAAGAGCAAATATTATTTATGTCCAATCAACCTTAAATTAGGGACCATGGGTGTTTGATGAAAGTTGGAGAAAATTACCACATGTCCTAGTACTGTAAGAAAACAAAAGCTGTTCAATATAACTTAATTAAAGCTTTTTAGACACGAAATTTTCTCAGGAACTGGATCTGTTAAGGTTCTCCATGGGTTTTCATGCTAGGCCACCTGCCCAACCTTGTCTAAGAGTTAGCATAGCTATTTGCATGCTTTTCTGTAGATCTGCAGAGGGCTACTGCTAGCGCCCTATTACCATCTTTACTGAGATTAATGGTCCTTTGGCACCACCTCTGCCATTGCTTGAAATGATGCTTTGGTAGCCCAAGATCTGAATAGTTGAAAACATATTGCATGGTTTTGGTTTTCTTTGGTGATTCTCATTTTCGTTGCTTAGGGTCATCATCAGAAATTTGTCACCTTATAAATGGACCTGTATGTAGAAGTTGCCTTTTTGAGAATAATTTTTATTTTTATTTTTTAATTTTTCGAATGTATTGTTCTCTCAACCCTTGCCTTTGGAGCCACACCTAATAAAATTATAGTTATCTTGCTTCTTGTCCAAGCAATTCTTGTTTTGGTGGGTATTAGTTTGTAGACTTTGGGATATCGTTAAGAATACTACAATTTTGGTGCCAGGCATTCTTGTCTGTTGGAGTTTTAGCATTCTAAGCGGTTACATATATTATATTGTTAATAATTGACTATTTTCATATTAAGCAGGTGTAAATCTTATGAGAATGCCAAGAAAAAGTTGACAGTGTCGGAGGCACCAAATATTCTTACAATTGCATTGAAGAGATTTCAGGTATCTCGTGTTAAAGATGAGATGTTAATATCTTGTTGCATTTTCTTCTATCTTTTTTTTTTTTGGGGCAATATTTTTATAACATTTGCTAAACGTGTTGCTGCAGTCCGGAAAATTTGGCAAGCTCAATAAACCCATTCGATTTCCTGAAATACTTGACTTGGCTCCTTTTACGAGCGGGACCAGTGATAAGTCACCTATATACAGGCTATATGGGGTAGTTGTTCACTTGGATGTTATGAATGCTGCCTTTTCGGGCCACTATGTGTGCTATGTGAAGAATAGCCAAAATAAGTGGTTCAAAGTTGATGACAGTGTGGTAGGTCTCAATTTCCTATAGTTAGTTTTGATATCTTGTGCTGTGCAGCTAGTTTAAAACTTTTGCTAGATTGAAAAAAATTACAAGTTCTTGAGAAGTTGGGAGCCTAACATTTCAAAGAATTTGGGTTATAACTTCCTGAATAGAACTTGAGTTGTACTTTTGAAGTGTTTTATATTAACATTTCAAAAATAACTTTGACAATTGAACTCCGTAAACCTAAAACTAGGACAGTTATGTCTTTAACATGAAAAATATCATGTTAAAAAGATAACTTAAAGTTCACAAGGAATAAAATTTTAAATGAGCAAGTTGTACGTAAAGGAAATATATTTCTTGGGAAGTCAACTTTCCTAGAAGTGTGACTTCTTGCGTCAAAACGATATCTTAAATATGCGTATTTAGATCTGGTGCAAACAATTCACTGGACTTGTTTTATAGTTCAGTTGCTGCCTCTTAAGTATACAAATTTTAGGACTTGCATAGTGTTTGTGTAATCAATCAAATGGAAGACAAAGTCATGTTTTGTCTTTTGATAGTATGCTGTAGCTGTTGTTTGGACACCTTAGACTACTCAATCGTTTCATGGTATTTTTTAGGTGACAGCTGTTGAATTGGAGCGAGTCTTGACAAAAGGAGCGTACATGCTTCTTTATGCGAGGTAGCTGATCTTCGGTGCATTGTTTTCTGTCAAGGCTTCTTTTAGTTATATCTGTTTCTCTGACCAACTGAATCACCTGCTAGGTGCTCACCAAGGGCCCCAAGGTTGATTAGGAGCATGGCATCCAGTGATTCAAAGAGTAAAACTGTCAAGGTAATGAAATCCAAATGGGTGCCAACGAGTTCTGTTGCTGCTGAATATTTTCCAAGCTCGGTTTCTCCCAGTGGCTCCCCCACCTTAGACCCTTTCAATTCAAAGTTTCACCACATGAAAAGGATTCTGGAAGATGATTCATCAAGTGACAACTCGTCCCTTATCAGTACCAATTCTGATGAAGGTTCTTGCAGCACTGATAGCACCCGTTACTCAACCAGCACTGATGACTTCTCCGAGTACATTTTTGGTGAATCAGGTTGTGGCTGGAAGAATTCTGATTCTGACACGTCTTCCTCATCATCTTCATCATCTCCCCTCAACTTCAGGCATTCTCCCCTTTCTGACAAGGACCGGTATGACTCAGGTTTTCCAGATGTCTCTGGGTTGCGGACTCCTGCTGGTTTGAGTGTGGAGGTAGATAGTCAATTGTACAGGAGATTATACAGGTGGTAGCAGAGTGGTGGATACCGAAAGGGGAGTTACTCTCTTGCGTTCTGACACAAATATACATGCTAGGAAGTTAGATAATAGCACTTAGTGGTAGTATTATTAATAGGGAGGCTAACTATTTTCAGGGACTAGGATCTAACACCATTTTAGCGATAAAAACTGTGGTGCATCATGTAGAAAGTCAGGGCAAAGAACGGATTGAATATTTTATGGAGTAAATAACTAGGGATGCACTGCGTAAAGTGCTCTTGTTAATAACTTATCCCCCTCTCAAATTTGTCTTTTGGGTCCCAGTTGCACTTTACCATATAGTACGCCTTCTTGAAATGAATGTACCATGAAACAGTAATAAAGCGAAACCAGTTATGTGCGTCCTATGAAATATTTTCTGTAACCGTAAATCGTGAGTGAGTACTCTCACGTCTCTATCACGTCTTGGTTTGTGTTTATTACAAGGATCCTATCACACAACTTTTTATAACTTCATAAAAGAAAATGCGTCAATATTTCTAAATTTAAAAAAAAATTTCATTATTTAATTTTAATGGCTAATATTGCACATGCAATTATATTTTATTAATAATGATAATTAAAAGTTTAATATTCTAATACGTTTCATTATTAATAATTATCTGAAACAAAGATTTTATTATTATAATGATCATTGAGGGCATTGTAACGACTCAATCTGCTTTCCCTTTTACTATCAAATGAAAAGTTATCCATCAAATTATTTTTTTTAATTGCATACTAAATTTTATTCCATTCCATGAAACAAATGTGCAAGCAGTCTTAATAAATTGCGTTGCCCTAGTGGTTCTCACATCCTAGAATGAGAAGAAAACAAAACTTTGTAGTTTGCACGAACCACGCAGATTGGGCTATATTGCCTCATGATTCGATGTGGAGATGTGGGGTCGTTTCATTCACAAATCTGGAATCCGGATTTGGTACTTGCCGATCCCACATCCTTGCTCGATGGTTTTCGCATACTAACAGATTCCTAATTAGTTCTCAATGAGAAGGGGGCGGCAGGGTGATGAATAATTAGGCATCGTTTTAGTGTGAGTTTTGTTCACAAAAGGACGTCATAAAAGCACATGTAAAGGAGCAAAACATGGTGCAGCTTGGTTGACTTTGCAGAACGGTCGTGCGCTTTCATGATGGCGACACAATCAACTGTGCTGTCACACACACACACACACACAAATAAAGTTACCGACACAAATCTTCAATGTATACATTTTTTTTCATACAAGGGAAAGCAAGAGAACACTAAGAAAAAACAGCAAAACTATCCTATTCCATTGAGATCTAAAAATTCCAGAACACTAAGGGCTCAGGATAAGGAAACCCGGCTTATCATTCAGAGCTCTCTTTGCCAGTGCATCTGCCACGAAGATGTTCAATGTATAGATTTTACATATATGGCATATTAAGTATCTCCTACACGGCGTAATACATGACATACGTTCAGGTATGTTGAAGAGATATTAAGTATACAAAGTATTGAATAAAACTGAGGGAATTGATGACAGAATTTGCTTAAGGAATACTGAGAGCCACACCTCAATCTGTCCCTTAAAGCCTAAAGGATTGTGAAACACATTGATGTTCCTGAAATGATGAACATTAAGAAGCCGCAACTGTACATGCCTCAACTCATCACCCCTGCATATGCAAATACTTTCCAGCCCCACTCACATGCCAGCCCCTCTCATCATTATATATATGTGTGTGTGTATCACATGTTCTACATAACGCCATTTTGGATGGCGCAGCACACACACATATACATATGTTTTGTGTTTTTAATGAATACTACCTCCGGTCCTTAATATAAAACTTCGTTTGACTTTTTATTTGATCCTAATTATAAGACCCAAATCCATTTTTTCTCTCATATTTATGCATTTTTTTTAAGATAGTCCTTTAATAATGATAGTTCTAGCCAATACACTTAATTAGCAAGGATATTTTAGGGATGACAACACTTATTTATTACAAATAACTAACTTAACATACTTCCTTAATCTCCTCAAATAAGTCAACTGGGTCTTATAATTAGGACAGGAGGTAGTACCTTCTTTTACACTTATCACAAAACTCTCTCTCTCTCTCTCTCTCTCTCTAAATATTGAACTTTACATCACCAAACATACAGTAGTGGCAAGCAAGCAGTATATAGCAGATATGCAGCGCCTTTATTTTAATTTGGATAATCGATAGATCGATTAATTTTAAATACGAGGTGAATATAATAAAACGAACCTTTCCTTGTTAAGAGTCATCAGGTCGAAGCAGAATAATGTCATTATCTACGCCATGTTCCCTTTCCAGATGGGGCATCTTTTTATCTTTTGTAAAAGAAGGAGGCTGATTTAACAATAACAGGTAAATATTCTGAGTCGTAAGCTGTTTGGTGTTGGTTAGAGGAAGGTCTGCGATAACGTGGGACCCTCCCTCGTCCACTTGCCCAACAAAGACACACGAAACTTGTAGCTCAAGTCTTTTCACGCACCAGACTTCAAATTTGTCCTTCCCTCTCCCTCTAAGCATCTTTTTTTTCCCAATTATTTCTTTTTCCTGGGGTTAGCTAAGAACATGAGAGAGCTTAACGAAGAACACGATGAGGGAGGGAGGGAGGGAGAAACAGTAAGAAAGAAAAGAAAAGAAAAGAAAAAGCGAGCATCGATTTGTGATCGGTGACGGAACAAGCGTGCATATACACACACTTCTGGTCTACTAAGGTCTTATATTTAGAAACGGAAGAATATATATACTACTTTTGGTCTTTAACATAAGATCTTATTTGACTTTTATTTTGATCCTAAATATAAGACCCAATCCACTTTGTTTATCATATTTATATATTTTTTTCTAAAATAATCCTTTTAATAATGATAGTTCTAGCCAATACACTTGATTAGTAAGGATATTTAGAAAAAAATAATACTTATTTGTTACAAATAACTAATTTACTTCTTTTTTTAATCTTTTCAAATTAGTCAACTAGTTTTTATAATTAGTATCGGAAAAGTAGTACATAGGAAGGTGGCTGGCTATATATACACTACTTGCATGCGTGGGCTGCTGCCGCTAATTATGCTCTTTTCTTTCCTACGCGTGCACTACTTTTTTTATTCATTATTATGCAAATTTTCTTAACTTCTTCCTCTTTTGAATCTACACGCAACTTCTTTCCTTAGATTTCATAACCATTATATACACTTTTCCTTTTCCCCGAAAAGAGTAAAAAGGGGCAGTATATATGTTATCATGAAGAGAAACACTGGACACGCATGCATGCGATGCGATGTTAGGCGCATAAGAGGAAGCTAAGAGAAGGGATTTTGCAGAAACGAGACAGAAAAGTGAGTGATTCGGTTCCTTAGACAACTGCACCGCCATAGCTTTAATTGGTGGCTCTCAGAATCCTTTTGCTTTGGAGCTGTGTCTAAGAAAGCAGCTACAGATCAGAGACAAGTTGACAATTTTTTCACATTTCTGGGTTGACAGCATTTCTCCTAGTTCCAACATGTTTTTCCGGCGGCATAAAACAGTTTTTTTTTCACTCAACTTAAAAAAAAATTCATTTCTTTTTCCTTTTTTACGCACAGACATCTTCTAATTGGAGAATTCTGCTGCTTAAAAATTAGAAAGGAAGAGCCTTTTACCCTTCAAAGTTCCAAACCATTTAACATCAATTAAAAAGCCATGGGACAACTAACGGGAGTTTGCTCAGAAAGCCGATGTAATTTATGAGGGAGAGCGGGACAGCCTCGCTTTGTATATGTAATTTTATTTTCTGCGTCGGATGACCAATTCTTGCTTTTAGGATGAAAATATACTACCTATTGTCTTTAATATATAAAATCTAATTTATACTTCAGATTAAATTATAAATTAGATGTTATGTTAGCTCAATCCTTAATATAAGATCTCGTTTAATTTTTATCTTGATTCTAAATATAAGATCCCGATTCACTTTATCTCTAATAATGGTAGTTTTAACCAACACATTTGATTAGTAAAGATATTTTAAGAAAGACAACACTTATTTATTACAAATAATTAACTTAACTTATTTTTTTAATCTCTTTAAATTAGCCAACTAGTTTTTATAATTATGACTAAAGTGATAGGTAGTATATATTAATTTTGGATGTGTTGCTTTCTCTTTGACTTCGAATATATATGTATATTTTTTTGGGGTGTAAAACTAACTACTTTTGAAGAATAACCCCGACAATATTTTATGACGGATCTCAAATCTATTATTAACCACATGGTCCGGAACATGTGATGTTATTTTGTTCAATGTAGTCATTGACAAAGTGTCCGAAATTCTTTGACATACTTGATCAAGTGAACAATTTCCACGCCCTTTATTTCTTTTCTTAAACTCTTTCTTTCTCTTTCCGACATGTTAGATTCACCCACTCCTACTTCTATTAAAACTCTAAAGGCGCAACAGTTTTATATGTGGACACGATGAGTAAGAAGTCTACAAGTTTTTAAAGGGAAGACTAGATTTTGAGACCTTATATTGTCAAAAGAATAATGATAATAAATAGAACTCAACATATGATTTGGCAGCTGCAAAGGTTAGAAAAGTGATGTGAGAATTGAAATTACACTACACTGAGCATCTACTATATGCATTCATTGAACACGCAGGGAGTTAATAAAAGGGAGAAGCAAAGCATGGAAGTAACTAAAATGGAGGAAGCTTAGAGATAATGTGCATGATGAGGCAGACGGGATGTGGGGGAGGATGGCTCGCCGTCATCGTCACCGTCACCTCAGAGAAGTGGGCCCACTCTTACCGTTCACTCACCCAGATTCAATGAACTGCACTGTTTCTTTACCCGCGGCCCTCATTACTCCCTTTTTATCCCTTATCTTCTTTTATTCCCATCCTTCTCCCCCGCCAAACCAAATTTAGCAACATTCTTATTCTTATCAGGACATGATAACGTTACTATTAGTATATCACCCAATAAATGTGTACACGGACTGGGGGGGGGGATGATCGATGCTGCATGTTGTGTAGTTGTGGGCAGTGGGGTACCATCCCAAATGGGCGACTTCGGCTGCCCATACATTGATATCTTCATTTAGGCATTTCAACATCATATCATCATCCCTTCATTCCCACAATTCAATCCTTCTCTCTTGTCTCTTTCGTTTCTCTCCCTTTCAATCTTCATTTCTCCCGTCTTCTAAATTCATACCCATCACTTTTTTCCTTGTTATCTTCAATCCTAGCTAGCTCCAATTACACATTCATATGCATTCAACTTCTCATCTCACCTCCGTTTCGATCCCATCTTATTATCATGTTTATAACTATTATCTCAGTCATTTTACATACATCTCTTCGAGCTCGATCACTCTGCCCGACTTTGGCAATTTCAAAGCCAATCAGATTGGACAAGACTGTTTGTTTTGAGTGGGACAAGGTTGGGGTTTTCGTGCATGGCAGAGCTAGCAAATTTGGTATTCACCACTCGCTGAAGCCTTCGCCAGATAATTTGAATGTAGATATGTCCTTAATCATAATGGCAAAAGAGAGTAAATAGATATACATAGAAAGAAATAGGGAAGCGTGGGTCTGGTGATTGAAGATGCGTGGATAATTAATGAGAACGCTGCCCGCCAGGTGGACATTTTCTGGTAAGTTTTGAAAATTTCGGAGAGGAGCAAGCACCAAAGTCAATGTTCAGCCTGAACGTGCCCGCATTGAATCAAATATGAGGACTATTGACTATCAGCCAAAAGAAACATGTAGGTATATTAATTACATGATTTGTCCTCAAGTGGGACCGGTCCATAACTTGAATTGGCATTAATTGAGACCTACGATAGTCGTCTCGATCCATCGCGAGGTGTTTGACCACGAAGACGGTTTTCTCAGGCAAAAGCACCGAGATAGGCAGGGAGATGGAATGACTTCTAATAAAGAGGAACGTACATGGTCAACAAAAGAAGCCACCTGCAGCCACGATGGAAATTCGGTTACGTTTCTTCAACTTTAATTTGTATGCAGTGTTAATCGTAATATATACTACCTCTTATTATTGAAAAAATTAATTAAATTAGTTATTTATAATAAATAAGTATTTTTTTAAAATATCTTTACTAATCAAATATATTAGCTACAACTATCATTATTATAAAAACTACCTTAAAAAAATATATAATTAATAAAATAAATTGAAATTTATTTTAAAATTAAAATAAAAGTCAAACTAATATTAAAGATCTGCCATGCCACTTATGGTAGGATTTGTTCTGACAAATGTTCTCCTTAATTCTTTGCTTTTAATTTTTATTGTGCATTTGGTCAAAATGGTCATGACTGGCAGGCTGGCCATCACATCGGTAACTTTCAGAGCCCTCCTCGTGAGATTTTGGATATCTTACCAAAATCTCATCTTCTCTGCCCCCCAACATCCTGTTATTGAATACCCGTGAGTTGTTTCTGCCCATAAATCAAATCTATACATGTTTTATATAACACTCTACATCACATGATCTCCAACTTCTATCCAAACACATTTCCCCCGCCAAGTTTTGAGATGAAATGCAACACAATATTCAAGATTTATGATTAGGGATGACTTTGTAAAGAGATTTTATGTTTTACATAATGATTATGTCCACCCCCCCCCCCAGTGTCTCAACTCTTGACTATTTGCTGAAGTGGGAGAAAACAAAATGGAAATTACTCGAGGACAATTCGCGGTAGTAGTCAGATACGTACACATTAGAGTAATTTTGGAGAAAACCAAATAACCAAAATGAATAAGAAAGTATTTAGATGGAAACTAAATCATAATTTTAAAAATGATTTTATAGTATATGAAATAAATATGTAGAGGAGTTTATCCCGAAACGCAGTAAAGTGTTTTTAAAAAACACTTTTGACAATAGCCAACTCCTCGGGTCTTCTTCCACACTTGGATTCGCCATTGTTGAGAGTGTTTGAGGATGATGTTTCGCGATATGATCAACGACCGGAGCAAAAGAAATCAATGATAACTGTTTTGCGCACAAAAAATATCGAAGCGAGGGGAAATCTTCTAATATATGGTTGCTTCTAAGCTTCTAAAACTTTTGATATCTTTCATGCATTTACTTGATAAAATGATATAAGACCTTATTTGATTTTTATTTTGATACTAAATATAAGACCCTAATCCGTTTTGCTTCTCATATTTACTCAATTTTTTTCAATATAGTTATGCTAATAATTATAGTTCTAGTCAATATACTTGATTAGTAACGATATTTTAAGAAAGACAGTACCTATTTAGAACAAATAAGTAACTCAACTTACTTCTTTAATTTTTTCAAATTAATTAACTAGCTCTTATAATTAGAAAAGGAGGTAGTAATAAGAAAGCAATGAAGACTTTTTATAATTGGCCCCGAACAAAATAAATATATCTTGAAATTTATTTAAGAATCTCAACCTCTGGTCCTGTAAAGAGTCGAACTTTTCCACGTCACTTCTTCCGTAATATTCCCTAATACGATTATTATTACTAGAAAATTTAAATTTAATACGATGGGCATTAGCCATATGCCAATTACATACAAGCGATACATCTTCATTTAATGTAACTACAATTTACCAATGGTCATGTCTCATTCCGAAACAAGATCTTTTTTGTTTTGGTCAAGAAACAAGATCTGACTTGGACAAAATATGAATTAAATAAAAACAAAAAAGCCATACACATTACTAAATTAAATACAATGTTAATCAAACAAAAAATCAAGATTTTAAACAGTAAAAGTATAACGAATTATTCACTTCGAAATTGTATAACAGCACAGACCAATGCCCACGTCCAGCTTGCCATGTAACAATCACCTGTGAGTGCAATTGCAACACCATATCCATCATGAAAACTGTATTTTTAAATACTGTGATCATTTATTGGGATCGCAGCGAATTAATTTGAATTTTCAAAAATGCATTGAGCTGGGCAGAATCTTCGCTTAGAACAAAATCCCAGTAACTGACGCGACAGCGTAAGGGAAGAGCGAAGCAGTAAAACTCGGGCCGCGGTCAGGTGAAGTTGCACCGTTGCTTTTACTTTTGCATCGATAAATCTCTCTCTTTAATAGAGAAATCAGAGAAGAGGAGAAAAAGACAAAACAAAGTACAGAAGAGATCAGAGATATGAAGTTGAAAAAAGAAGAGCAGAGAAGGGAGGAGGGTTCCTTGCGGGGAGCTTTTAGAGAAGCGTATAGGATAAAGCAAAGAGAAGACAGCAGAAGGGGTGACGAGAGTCCAGAAGGCACTACGCTGGGCATGTTCTCCTCCTCTGCCATACACTTTATCCAAATCGAGAAAGCTTAGACTAAGACAGACTCATCTGATAAGATTTATCATCTCAGACAGAAGCCATCATTCAAGTGCCCAGCTGTGCCTATCATGTTATCTTCACCCAATGCCTCCCCCTGTAACCCGTTGCTTCCTGCTCCCTCCTCAGTCCCAAACTTCAAAGCATCTCTCACCTCTCCACCAAACTGCCCTTTTCCTTTCCCAACCAGAACCCACTTCCCAAAAAACGAACCTGCAAGCCTAAAGGCATTTCGTTGATAATGATACGGACGAGATGTCCCGGTTTCAGTTTGTTTTGTTATTATGATAATCATATTCATTATAATATACTAATAAATATCATAGTAGGAATGATAAACGGGCATGGGGATAACATTTAGTGACGGAAACGAAATTTGGAGCACATTTACTTCCTTCCTCAGAGATCAATGACTCGGTTCTTCAAAAAATGAAGGGAAAAATCTAACCGCTCCTAAGACTGTCTACACTATTTCTGTTCGAAAGTCGAAACTAAAATGCTAATGAACTCAACAGCAACACATCCAAGTTAAACACTTAAACCAGACAAGAAACCAACGAAGGAACAGTAACGTCTAACTTTAATTCACAATGGGCACGGGGTTACTAAGGAGTGAAGGGAAGTACGCGGTTTCAGTATGGCGGCGGCGGTCTTGCAGTCGGAGCCCAGATCACATCGGATGGTAATTGACAGCTATACATAGACATCCCACACGAATCACCAGGCGCGTGACCGCTCTCCCCACCGCCTCCAGATATCGGCGGGGACTGCCCATCTCCGCCGCCGCCCGAGACGGAGTTTCTAACGTCCTCTTCAGCTGGCAACCTGTGGTAAGATGGGTTGTTGAAGGAAGCAGCGACAACGAACACGGTTCCCGCCGCCAACAAACTGCCAGCGACCAATCCTCCAACGATCTGACCCTGTGGACCCGCCAGCGATATCGTAAAGCTGTTGGGGACCGCCGGCAAAGCACCCGACTGCTGGTTGGCCAGAAAGGTGGCGGATATGGATAAGATATCAAAACGGCCGTGAAAAGTAACGGTAGCCCCCGGGGTAGTAGAGGGTTGACGAAGGGTGACGTTAGCGACGGTCCCCGATCCAGTTAACACACAGAGACCAGTGTTCTTGCGGCGACAAAAGCGAGCAATCGCTTCGACGACGTCCGTTCCGCCAGGGACTTCGAGAATGAAGGAACTCATGGTAGGCTCGGGGTCGCGAGTTATGATGACGGGCGGCTTGGGCTTGTTCTTGGAGCCAGGAGGACGGCCTCTGGGGCGCCTCACGACCTCAATGCTGGAGCCATCGGCGGCGGAGGAGGGCTCGCGGGACATGGGCTTCTGAGGGTGGTTAGGGGTGGCGCCGGCGCTGGCGCTGCGATTATCATCTTCCTCGGAGGTTTGAGATTCGCGAGAGAGCTGGAAGGGGTGGTGGGGAAAGGGATGGTGGTGAAGCTTCGAGAACATACTGGGAGGATCGGCCTTGGCCTGTTGCTCCACATATTCACCTTTCATGGCTTTTGGTGGCTTCCGAAATCTCTCTCAAATTTCTATGCAGGGGGTATCCAATCCCAAGAGGAATGATTGGGAGTGGGGGGATTTGGATAGAAATGAGGGAAATATGAATAATATTAGGAAAGGGACGAGAGAGTGTAGAGAGAGAGACAGGGATGAGGATGAAAGGGGAAGGGGGGAGAGAGGAGAGAAGAGATTTTATAGGATTTGTTTAATAGAGGGAGGGGGGAGGAGGAGACGGAAAAAAAAGAGGGGGGTGGTGGTGCTTCACCCAAAAAAAAAAAGGGGGGGGTGGTGGGTGACCTTGGCAACAAAGTAAAGACTAGTGGCGCCGCTGGTTGGGGGAGGGTGGGGCCCATGGGGTATGAGAAGTAGATACGTTGGAATGAGACGGGAGTCAGAAAAATAAATAAATAAATAACAGGCGGAATTGGAGATTGGAGGGAGGGAGGGAGGGAGGGGTGTGAGTGGGGTTGGAAGGTTGTAGTAAGCAAGTAGCGAAAAACAGAAAATGACAAGGACAAGTTGATGTTGTTGTTTTGGGCAATGGGGGATGCCCTTTTCCTATTCTCTTTCTCCATCCCACTCCTCTAGATGCATTCAAAACCTTTCGGTCACTTTTTTTACTCTTCCCTCGCTCGCTCCCATTTCTTTCTTTCTTCACAGTTCAGATGATCCACTCCGATCCTTCTCGTTTAGTTCCAAGTCCCTTCCTAACACTCCTCCTTTAAATGCTTCTAGCTTGTTTGGAGTCGCATTTAAAATTATCTTTTTTTTAAATTAAAATAAAATTCATTTTACATACTTATCTTATATTTTATAAATTATGATTAAAAAAATTACTTATATAAATGGTGTCATCAATTCCCAAACTTCAATAAAAATTATTATACCATCACATCCATTTGGAGGTCTATGTGAACGGACTTTAAGGAGAAAACAAGAGTGTTAGAATTGAAATTTTCCAACAAGTGCCTTATTATGTTCAAACTTATGTTCTCCTCGTAAAATTGCTTGCCATCGCAACCCGTAACTTCTTGATAAAAATTAAGTGTCCAGTAATTGGGAATCAATCCAAGTGGGAGGGACAACCACGAGTCAAATATATATAAAAGTAAGGAAAAGTTATTTTGCAAGTACCTATAATTTTTATCACTTTTTAATTTGGTGTCTGTGTGTGTTTTTTTTTTAATTGAACACCGTCATTTCACTCCGTTGTTAGTTTTTATAACTTTACCTTGTTGCTATTGTTAACCCTTATGTAAAATCTAATTATATTAATAGAATAAAATTGCAGTGTTTAATTAGAAGAAATAAAAATACAGGTGCTAAATTAAAAATTAAGCAAAACTATAAGAACCAGTAAAATGGTTTTTTCCGAAAGTAATTCCTAGTTCAGGATGAGTTGTGTGAGAAAACCTTCCTTCCAGGTGTCAAGTTCTAAAGTAACTCCCTTCTTTTTTTCTTTTTTTTCAAGTTCTCTTAAAAATAAGGTTGGGATTCTAACAAAATGTTATGCTCTCAAAGAGGTCTATTTGGCATGATTTACAAGTAATTTTTTAATTATAATTTATAGAACACAAAATAATTATGTAAAAATAATTTTATCTCAATTTATAGTTAATTCCAAATGTAGTCTTATTATGTTTTACATATAATTTCAAACACAAGTCATCGCGCTTAAATAAAATAAAAGCCAATCCTTCCCGTGGAACCAATAAAAGTAGCTGTCTATATACTTTTCTGGTCCTAAATATAAAACCCTTACATTTAGGACCGGAGGAGTATATTATTACTTGCAGAATGCAAGGTAAATGTCACATGCCATAAACTTACAAGTCCTGTTTGATACGAAGTATTAAAAATTAAGGATAGAAATTAGAATTATAATTGAAAAAAATCATTAAAATAGTATTTTACATGAGTAACAAGTTATTACATGGGATTAGAAATCATAGAGGTGAGATTAAGGAATATCACTTTCCCTTATGGTATTCTCTAATCCTACATATATAGATTTGGCTAATCCCACATGACAACCAGTCTCTTATATTAAATATTTTAATAAATCTTCTCAATCTCAATCCCAATCTATATCTCTAATTTTTAATGTTTCTTAGCAGACCACATATTAATCTTTTATGTGCATTATTGCATACAAGTTTGTGAAACAGGATATACTGCTCAGGAACGAATGTAGGGGGTAGGCCAAATCGAAAGCTAAGGCATCCATTTCGACGCTACTTGAAATCACGGAAGAAACATTTCATGAACCGAAACGGGCTTCCGCATGTCATTTGGAAATCATAACTTTTTACTTTTTTTTTTTTTTTTACCTGAATAACTTTTTACTAGTTTAGATTATATATAAATATGTAAATTTTTTAATAATGAAACTACATATATATGAAGAGGTTTCAAAACTAGACACACACCTCGATAATTCAATCTTTTTTTAAAAGAAAAACACATGCCTTTATATCCTTATTGTAAAGCAAAGTTTTAAATTCCTATGCAATCCTAGATATGGAATACAAATATTTAAATTTTTAGCCACGTGGCTATTAATTTTAACTAGAAACTTTTTTCCTGTCCATGCGAAGCATAGGGTGGTGTGTAACTATGTATAATTATATTTAAAATAAATAAAGTATCTTTATAAGATGTATTATATATTTGATTCAATTATGATATGTTATTCTATTTGTATTCTTTGGCACTTCTTATTGAAACAATTAGGATTTTTTTTATTTAAAATCCATACTTTTCTATGTATTTTTAAAAAGATAAGGTTTCTTTTATAAAATAAAAAAATAAAAAAATAAGGCATATATATATATATGTGGATTGGATTCATGACCCCTCTTATTCCAAGAAATTCACATTTCTCCCCACCCCAAAATATTCTTCATTTGCTTTGTGTTTTTAAAAATATAAATTTTAATATAAAATAAAAGAATAAAAACGAGGTATATATATATATATATGGAGAGAGAGCATATACACATACAAAATTGGGTTACTCAGACCATAAAAAATATTAGATTTGTATAAAGTTAAATGGACTGAATTATTATTAATAACCTACTATAATTATATGAGAAACTGATACATGAGACAAAGAGACACATGAAGCTAAAATAAATTTAGATAACAAACAAAGTATGAAAAAAAAAAGCCGACCTATTTAAGTATTAACGAGTATTATGAGATTTTATAAGTATATTAGATAGATAGATAAATGGCAAAATTAAAAGTCGCACGTTTTTTTTAATACTCCTCCGGTCCTTATTATAAGACCCAATTTGATTTTTTATTTGGTCCTAATTATAAGACCCCAATATATTTTATCTCTTATATTTATGCATTTTTTTCCAAGATAATCCTTCTAATAATGATAGTTTTAGTCAATATACTTAATTAGCAAGGATATTTTAGAAATGACAACACTTATTTATTATAAATAACTAATTTAACTTACTTCTTTAATCTCCTCAAATAAGTCAATTAGGTCTTATAATTAGGATCGGAGGAGTATGTTATTAACGAATGTCAAATGCCACTCCTTAAAAGTCCTAAAGTTAATTTACTTTACTTTATCATTAGAATTTGAGAGCGCACAGCATAAGATTAATACAAGCAAGCGTTTAGAGGCGGCGTCATCTGTGGCAGCAGGAGCAGCTTGCACCAGAGATGTTATGCCTGAATGTGCAGATGAAGACATTAACTGAAAGTGTGCGAGGCACGCAAGTGCGAGAACCGATATTGCACTGCCCAGCTTTATTTTTATTCAATTCATAACTATAACCCTCTTTTTTTTTTTTTGGTTCTTTATAACGCTTATTCTTATCCATGCACATCTTTGACAGGGGCATCATTGGAACAAAAACTCTTTTTTTTTTTTTGGCTAGATGCGAGGGAGTAATTAGTTCAAATTTGGCCTAATTATTTCATGGGAAATCATTATTATTATTATTTAATTTAACTCGGAGGAAAATCATCATCACGTGTCTACAGAAGACCGAGTTTTCTGATTAACCCCATCAAAATTATTAAAAACACTGGCAGGGTATGACCAATTAGAGCACACCACGTGGCTTTGCTTCCCCTCTTTTGCTATGAAGAGTGGGGACTTGAGGACTTCAGTGACTAAAAAAGTGTTTGGATAAAAACCAAATAATGATTTTAAAAATGTTTTTATAGTTTAAAAAGTAAACATGTAGAGGAGTTTATCTCATTTTACGAAAAAATACTTTTAAGAAACACTTTTGGGTTGCCAAGCACCCCCTAAATATTCTTTTTGGGGGGTTGATGGTAAAAAGACAGACATTGGATTAGCGTTGATATCTTGCCGTGCTTGGAATAAAGATATCGTTAGGTCTAACTAAATACGCCAACAACCATGTTTATTCCTAATAATAATAAAAGTGAGAAAGAATGGAATCAAGCTTGTTTTTGGCGTAGGGACTCTTTCTATATAGACTCTCAACTCTACTACCTTTCAAACAAAATATCATGACTTTAGCATACTTTTCATGACATAAAATTTTAATATGATTAAAACTTCATAAAACAATAAATTAATTTTTTTTTTTTGCCAACACTAAATCAAAACATTTAAAGATAGCTTCATCATTTAAAATTACTCACTGTATATTTCTTTCTCAGCATTCGCTTTCAAGGGATTTTTTTTGAGTTTCTAGATAATATCGACTATTGAGATAAATTAAGAATATATTAAAAACGGTCCCAAAATTGAGTGAAAAGAAAGCCGGAAAGGGCCATGGTGGGCACTGGGCAGATGCCAAAAAAGGCAGCAATGGTGGGAGTGGGACACATGTTGTCACCGCACATAATTTTGGAAAGTCTACGGACCAACGCATATAAATTATTCATAGACGAATTTAATTTTTTTTATTTAGATTTTAACTTACTATTTAACTAATTCGAATAAATTAATAAAACTAAATAAATTATTTAATTCTAACAAATATAATATGATCCTTTGAAAATATTCCCATGCAACAATTTATAAGTTAAACAAATTATTTTTTTTCAACAAGAGATATCATCTTATTCATGAATTTTCCAATCTAAGCTGTTAATTAACAGTGTTGTTATTAGTTTTCCAATACATGAAATTAACAGAAACATTTTGATTTCAAATT